AGCTAGACTAGTGTTTCATTAAGGCTGCCAATACAAGAAAGTAAGCTTCCAAAAGTTTAGGCTGTAGATGCTTAATGAAAAGGAATAGAGAAAGATGAAAATATCATGGAGGAATGAAAATTTTAATTGAAATGACAAACTTTTTCATATAGTAAGTTTGTTATTGATTTTTCAGATTAAAATGCAGAAGACATGTTTAAAAATAAGCCATTTTTAAAAACCTTTTTTTTTTCAAAATCTATATCATTTAGTTAATTTTTCTTTTAACTTTTTATTTTGGAAAATTTCTGACATATACCAAAGTAAAATACCAAAATGACCCTATGTTTTCATCATCCAGCTTCAATCATCTGGTAGCCAGTCTTGTTTCATTTTTATTCCCCTGCCCGGCCTCCCTAGTCCTCTCATATTGAATTCTTTGGAAGCAAATGTTAGGCATCAGTATTGTTTAATTTGGTAAATATTTCAGCATCTCTTAAAAATATGGATTTTAAAAAATAAAACTAACCATAATATTATTATGAAAGCTGGAAAAGAAGTTAACTTTTGAGGAGCTGGAGTTGTGGCTCAGTAGTAGAGCACTTGCTAGGCACTGAGTTCCATCTTCAGGACCATATAAAAATAAATAAATAAAATAAAGTTATGTGTCCATCTACAACTAAAAMATAAATAAATAAAATAAGAAGGTATCTACTAAGTGCTCAATTTCTTCCAATATTTTTATAATTTGTTCTTGTTACTGGGCTTATTTTACTTGAATTAAAATTTCAAACATTCAGCCACTCAAAATATGTACATTGTATTTTATTAATATGTCTCAAGTTTCCTTTAATATATGTTTATCCTATTTTGTTAATTGTATTCTCTTGTTGCTCTTATTTGTGGTTAAACAAATCAGGATTTTGACCTACGAGTATCTCCCAGTCTGGATTTTGCTGAAATTATCTGCCAGTGTCATTTAATATGTTGCTCTATCCCCTGTAGTACTTTAAATTGGAAGTTAGATCTAGAGACTTGCAGTGTTTGACAGGGATACTTAACTGGTGTTTAGACACCACGAGGCACATAAAGTCTCTTTTTGGTGTTGGCAGACACTGATGATTATTAACTAAATTTTGTTTCTTTAAGCATTTGCAGAAATAGTGATCTTGTAATTTTATCCTTCTTTCTTAATTTTTAACTGGAATACTACTGTGAAGAGAAACTTCTCATCAGGTTTCCTTGAAGGTCACCTTATAAAAGAAAGTCAGATTAAATGCTTCTTTCTTTCCTTTATCAAAGTATTAGAACAGAAATACCATATCTCAATTTCAAAATGTTATACAACTACCTCCTCTGTCTAGTTCCAAAACATTTTCATTACCCCCAAAGAAACCTCTGTATCCATTAAGCTGGGTTTCCCTATTTTCCTTTCCATCTAGCTCCTGGCAGTCCCCAATCTTCTGTCTCTGAATTTTATTTGTTCTATATATTTCTTATAAATGATATCATACAATAGGTATCGTTTTATGTTGACTTCTTTCATGTAGTGTAAAGATTTTAAAGTTTATCTATATTSTAGAATATATCAGTACTCCATTAATGGCTGAGAAGTATTCTGTTGTATTAGACAACAGTTTGCATAGCTTCTCAATGATTTTTTTTTTTTTTTACCTTTCAGCTATTATGAATAGCAATGCCATGAACATTTGTGTACAAGTATTTGTTTGTTGGGGTATCTATGTTTAGCTGTTTTGAGAATATATTTAGAAGTAGAGTTGCTGGGTTATATGGTAATTATTATGTTTAACATTTGAGGAACTTCTAGACTGTTCTTTGCAATGTCTGCACCATTTTACTTTCCATTATTGTTTTAAGAAGGATTTGTTTATTTTTTATATATATTTTTTGTTGTCCATGGACCTTTATTTTATTTTTATATGTGGTGCTGAGAATTAAACCCAGTGCTTCATATATGCTAGGCAAGTGTTTTACTACTGAGTTACAACCCGAGCCCTCACTGTGGTTTTGATTTTCATCTCCATAATGAAATGAAATTAATAACTAGGAGTATAGGCATGCATTACTACACTTGGCTTAGCAGTGCTTTTCATAAWGGTGAGCATTTGATATCCAGTTTTTCAGCACCATTTGCTGAAAAGACTATTCTGTTTTTTAAAAATGCCTTGGGAATGGAGTTCGATGGGAGAGCTCTTGCTTAGCATGCATATGAGGCCCTGGGTTCAATTCCTAACACTGAAAAAATAAAACAAATTTCCCATAGATGTATGGGTTTATTTCTGGATCTCCAGTTCTATTCCATGGGTTTGTATTGCTATCTTACGCTAGTATTGCATTGTTTTGATCACTGTAGCTTTATATCAAGATTTGAAATTGGGAAATTTGAGTCCTCCGGTATTATTGTATTGCAATTGTATTTTAGCTGTTATTTGCAGTTCCCTGTGAATTCAAAGGTTGGCTATTCCACTTCTTCAGTAAAGAGTGTTGGAATTTTTGAAGGTTGAATCTACAGATTGCTTTGGGTAGTATTGCTAGCTTAACAAAATTGTCTTCAATTCCATGAACATGGGGTATAGTTTTTTTTTTTTTAAGCAATGTTTTATTATTTTGTTGTTTTTGTTTGTTGTTTTGTTTTTGAGAAAAGGTCTCATTTTGTTGCCCAGACTGGCCTTGAACTCCTTGGCTCAAACAATTCTCCTGCCCCAACCTCCTGAGAACAACCTCCAAGGACAATATTCAAGTATAGACATGCATACTACACTTGGTTTAGAAATGCTTTTAGTTTTCAGTGAACAGGCCTTATGCTTCTTTGTTTAAATTTCTTTATGGGAAGTTTCTTTTTTGTGGATATGCTTGTAAATGGAATTTTCTTATTGGTTTGCTCATTGAATATGGTAGMTGTGGGTATTTCACAAATGCCTTTTTGTTTCTTTGTAATGACCATCATCTTAGTGGATTAGAATTTTTATTACTATAAGTGAATTAAATATATCAAATATTGAAACCTTTTTTTCTTAATATGTATTTTCCTGTTATTTACCCTTTTTTCCTCTCTCTCTTTTTTGCGGTGCTGGAGATCAAACCCAGGGTCTCACACATGCTAGGCCAGCACTCTACCACTGAGTGACATCCCCATTCATTTGTTTTTACTTGTTGCATATTATTGGTGAACCTCAAGTTTATACCTTTTTGTAGATATATTTTATTTGGAGATTTTAACACTTTTAGATTTAAGTAAGACTTTTGTTGAACTTAACATATCTACACAAATTAAAATACAATATATAAAAATGTACATGTAGCCAGACGTGGTGGTGTACACCTGTAGGAGGCAGAGGCAGGAGTGTTGCAAGTTTGAGGTTGAAGACAGCCTCAACAACTTAATGAAGAGCCTAAGCAATTTAGTCAGACCCTGTCTCAGAATAAAAAATAAAAAGGGCTGGGGATATGGCTTAATGGTAAAATACCCCTGGGTTCAATCCCCAGTACTTAAAGAAAAAAAAAAAAAGACTGGGAATATATCTCAGTGGTACAGTGCCCCTGAGTTCACTTGTCAGTACTACCAAATAGAAAAAAAAGATAGATGGGGCAGGGAGAGAGAAAGAATGAGGTAAGGAAGAGAGAGAGGGAGGAAGGGAACAATTTTCATAATAGGAACATCATGAAACTGAACATGCCAAGCAACCCAGAAGTCCCGTGGGATTCCTCTTAGTTACTAACCTTCTCACCCCAAAATAATCACTACTTTGACAAAACATCATAAATTAGTTTTCCTTTTTGCTTGTTTTTGAAATTTTTATAAATGGAGTCATGTAGTAAACATTCCTTTTTCTGGCTTTTTAGACTCAACATGTTTGTGAGGTTCATCCATATTGTTATATATGGAAGTAGTTTGTTCTTTCCCCTTGATTATGTATTCCATTTATTACATATAATCACTGCAATTTATTTGTCAGTTGTTCCATGGTAAATAGATATTCTGATTATTTCCTTTTAGGGGCTCTTTTGAAGAGCACTGATACGAAAGTTATTGTATGTACTTTTTGGTAATCATATATGTGCTTTCTGTTGAGGAGACACCTAGGAGTGGCGGCAGAGTCATAAGATATATATGTGTGTTTACTATTAATAAATACTTTCAAATATTTCAAAGTGTAGCTGTACCAGTTTATATTCATTAACAGTATATGAGAGTTTTAGTTGCTTGCCATCCTTATCAAGGACAATATTCAAGTATTATCAATCCTAATATAGTCACTGTGGTGTTGTATATAGTGGTATTTCTTAAGGGTTATATGTATGTCCCTGGTGTCTGAGATGGAGGAGCTACTTGGAAGGCTAAGGCAGGAAGATAGTGAGTTTAAAGCCAGCCTCAGCAAMTTAGCAAGACCCTGTCTCTGAATAAAATATAAAAAGGGACTGAAAATGTGGAACAGTGGTTATGCACCCCTGGGTTTAATCCCCAGTACCAAAACACACACACACACACACACACACACACAAAATTTGTTAAACACTGCATAGTGTCTAGCACATTCATGACATTTAATGAATACTTGCCTTAATCAACTAAAGAATGCTAGTTTTAATGTGCCAAAAATGAGCATGCATAAGAACTTTGGTCTGATTTCTAGCCCCTGCTCAGGCTTCATCTTTTTGACTAGTTGTACAAGAAAGAATATATATTAGAAGATATCTAGTTACCATTCATATTTTTATTCTTTTTTTGGGGGGAGGGGCTGGCTACTGGAGACTGAACTCAGGGGCACTTAACCACTGAGTTATATCCCCATCCCTTTTTATTTTTTATGTTGAGACAGAGTTTCGCTAAGTTGTTCTGAACRTGCTATCCGGCCTCAGCCCTCCCCAGTGGCTAGGATTATAGGTGTATACCATCATACTCAGTTAACTTTTTTTAAATTTAATAATCTTTCTGGGGGAAAAAAAATCTTTTCTTTTTAGTGGCAACAGACTTAAACTTTTTTTTTCTCATTTGRTAGCTCGAATTACATCTTTACAAGAGGAGGTGAAGCATCTCAAACATAATCTTGAAAGAGTGGAGGGAGAAAGAAAAGAGGCTCAAGACATGCTTAATCATTCAGAAAAGGTAAATGACATAACGTATCAATTATAAGATAGTATTTAAAAATCATCAAAATTTATGAGGTGTGTTTATAAAATAGCATTCATTTGTAATGTTTAGGTATATTTCTAAAAGCTTTTCTGTTTGATTGATTCATTAGTATGTGGGATGTATGTCTTACTCAGGGTCGTCTTATTCTATTATTTTTTGTTTGTATTCTTGAGAGAGTTAGATGTTTAACATTTAAAAGATCAACACAAATTGTTTTGGATGGAAATAGCTTTTAAAAAWAAATTTTTTCTAGTTTACTTTTATATGGGTAAGAAGAAGGTGCTCATTCTTACTATAATGTCTTATAAAAAAAGGAAAATAAAGGATTAGTATTTAGTAGACCATGCACTTTTAATCCATTTTATTTGTAAAATTCAGCAAAATAGAAAAGAGCATGAACAATTAGCCTTTACATTGAACAATCAAATATTTGTTATCCTCTATTACATACTTTGAGGAAAGGATTAAATTGATAATTTACTGGTCTATGTCTTTTTCAGTGCCTCCCTGAAATGTTGTAAATTGAGCAGAACCTCAGATAAATTATCAGAAAAGCTACTAACTTATCTGGACCTTTTTTTTTTTTTTTTAGTTGTAAATGGAAACAGTACCTTGTTTTATTTTTATTTTTATTTTATACCACTGAGCTACAACTCTAGCCCTTTATCTTGGCTTTTGAACATATTTTGTAACTTTTAGAAGAGTTTTTGATGGCCAAGCTTGTGTAAATATGGAAATAGGATGAAAGAATCAATAGAAGTACACTAAAAGAAATGGAATACATTTTTACTACTTCTCCCTTTCTATCTCAATGACTTGCCATCAGATGTCTCTTTTGTTAAAGAAAAGTAAATGTGGGTATAAGTGTCAACATAAATAAAAATAATTTAATACTATTTTTACAAAATGGTGGTAAAAAATAAATAAGCTGAAAGATTATTCATTTGTGATCCTAGCAGTGAATCATCCTGAATGTAACCACTAGCACAACTTGTTCAACACTAGCCATGGTTAATGATTCAAACAGGAAAAAAGGGGAGAAAATAAAAAGTGATATTTTACTTTTAGATATGTTTATTGTGATTTAAAAAGTAATGCATTTATCTCTTTTGGGATATTAAATAATGTAAGATTTAATCATGTGCCTGTTTCATGGTTTTTATGTGATTTCACATTCCAATTTTACAGGAAAAGAATAATTTAGAGATAGATTTAAACTACAAGCTTAAATCATTACAACAAAGGTTAGAACAAGAGGTAAATGAACACAAAGTAACCAAAGCTCGTTTAACTGATAAACATCAGTCTATTGAAGAGGCAAAGTCTGTTGCAATGTGTGGTAAGTGTTGAGTTGTAATATTTTTGACAAGATTAATTTTAAGTAAGGCCTATAGAAATTTGCTTTTGATCAAAACTTTGTAGTGGAACGAATAATCATAATAATCACTTGGGAAAGGATTTCTTTCCTTTTTTAGCCGCTTTTTAAAAAAAATTACAATCAACCTTCTATTGCTCTATTCTTTTACCATCTCTTTCCTATAAAAGTTAGTGGAGTCTTTCTTCTCTTCCAGTTTTTTAGCCCTTTCCTTGATTTTCTTCCTGATCCATTCTGGACCTCATTGTTAATTCATCTGCTTTCTTACTTTGTACCTTCAATTTTCATGTTCCTTTATATTTCCACTGTAGTTAGCCTACAAACATAACCATAGTTCAGACCAACCACTTTTTTGTTTTATATTAAATAATAYTTTAGATGAATATTAGTGCATTACTTCTAACCTCCATCAGTTTTTTAAATATATCTCTCATGAGAAGGATCTCCCAGACCTTTATTTCTCTTTTCAAACTTTCTATTCCATTTTTTTAAAAATATTTTTTAGTTATACATGGGCACAATATCTTTATTTTGTTTATGTATTTTTATGTGGTGCTGAAGATTGAACCCAGGGTCTCACAYGWKGGAGGCGAGTGCTCTACCGCTGAGCCACAACCCCAGCCCCCCMCCAATTCCATTTTTTTATCATTCCAGTTTTTTCAGTTTGTCAGAGAAATAATAAAAGCATAGGTCAAGCTATTCTAAATCTAGTTCTCTTACTTTTACCAGTCTATCCTACTTCTTTACCTATCTTATCTTTCTAAAAGGATAACCTTCTTCCTATATAATATGTTCTAACTATAAGCAAAACTAGTCACCTCTTATCTCATCCTAACTACTTAATCCTTTTTCTCTTTTTTTATCTTCARTGTTCACTTTACCACTTGTTTCTTTCTTGTTATAAACATATGTGGGGGGCCGCCCTGAACAGGAGCTATGCACACACCTTTAAGTCCTGAGTAAAGTGGTACTGGACAGGTACCTTCATTGCAAGTGGACTTTACCTCCGCTTGAATAAGAAAGGTGCAGCTTTGGGAGTGGGAATCACCCAATGGAGTTGAATTACACCCACCTGTTTATTGTAATCTTACCCTTTTGCCCTTTTTTTTTTTGATAGAATGTTCCATGGATTAGCTTCCCCCMAAAATAAAAACCAAGCCTCAGAACGTGCTCCCCTCTCTCTTATCAGCCTCTCTTGTTTTTCTCTTGCCCTTCTTTTGGGAGCTTGCTGCTGGAGGCAGGGAAGCCGTCCTGAAGCCCAGAAAAAGGTATTTCCATGTGTGCGTGGTCATTTTCTGTCACTCCAAGTTTACCCGAGTGACCTCAGTTCAGTAGCCCGTGCTGGACAGGGGCTACAAACATATACATATCTTGCCCATCTTTTGGCAGGGGCTTAGTGGTGCTAGGGTTTAAATCATGTGCGTCATGCATGTGCATCATGCATGCTAGCTTGTCAAACACTCTACCATTGAGCTTCTTAAAAACTGACAGGGCTGGGGTTATAGCCCTGGGTTCGATCCTTAGTGCCACATATAAATAAATAAAATTCATGTACAACTGAAAAAAATATTAAAACAACAACAACAACAGAAACCTAATAGATAAACCCTTGCAGCAACCTATTATCCATCCCGTTAAAATAACCAAATTTAATAAAAAAAAAAGTCTTTTTTCACCTTCTGCTCACTCTTAACCGACTACTGAATGTGTCAGTTGGAACCTTAAATTTCATTTGTTAAAAAGAAGACTAGTGTGATCTTATTCACCAGACCTGCTTTTATATTTTAGTGTCACTAMTCTGGTTAATGGCCAACTGGTCGTCTTGAAACTAGATTTTGAAATCAAGTAGAACTACTTGGCCGCTTAACATTCTATGTTTTTTTTTTTGTTGTTGTTGTTGTTGTTTTTCTTTTTTTAGTTTCTTTTTAACCATATATTCACTGGAGAACACCACCTTTTTATCACACACACATTCTGTTAAAACACACACACACTGCAGACAGAATCTCTGGCTTCTCATCTCTCTGTTCTTCCTCCTAGATTCACACACAACAGCTATGTGTGGGAGAGAATCTCACCTGTAAGCCACAAATCATTCACTCAGTTTAAGATAGAAATTGGTGTCATACATGAAATCAGAGGGCAATTTCTTTCTTTTTTTTTTCTCCCCAATTTGGATATTCCTGTTTTTTTAATTGTTACTTTTTATTTATACATGACAGTAAAAATCATTTTGATATAATTATATAGGCATGGAATATATCTTATTCTAATTAGAGTCCCATTCTTGTGGATGTACAAAATGGTGGGATTCACTGTGGTGTATTTCATAGGAAAATTATGTCAGATTCATTCCATTATCTTTCCTTTTCCTGTCCTGTCTCCCTTCATTCCCATTTGTCTAATCTACTGAATTTCTATTCTTTCTCCCCCAGCCCACCCACTTACTATGGGTTAGCTTCCACATATTGAAAACATTTGACCTTTGGCTTTGGGACTGGCATATTTCACTTAAAATGATAGTCTCCAGTTTCATCCATTTACCAACAATGCCATAAATCATCCTTTTTTATGGCTGAGTTATATTCCATTGTGTATTTATACCACATTTTCTTTATTCATTATCTGTTGAAGGGCACCTAGGTTGGTTCCACAGCCTAGCTATTGTGAATTGTGCTGCTATATACACTGATGTGGCTATATCACTGTAGTATGCTGATTTTAACTCCTTTGGATATATATACCAAGGAGTAGAATAACGGAGGTCAAATGGTGGTTCCATTCCTAGTTTTTTTGTTGTTGTTTCGTTTTGTTTTTTTGAGGAATCTCCATACTACTTTCCAGAGTAGTTTAACCAATTTGTAGTCCTACCAGCAATGTGTGAGTGAGTGTACCCTTTCCCCATATCCTCACCAACATTTATTATTATTTGTATTCCTGATTGTCACCATCTTGACTGGAGTGAGATAAAATCTCAGTGTAGTTTTAATTTTCATTTCTCTAATTGCTAGAGATGTTGAACATTTTTTCATATATTTGTTGACCATTCATATTTCTTCTTTTGAGAAGTGCCTATTCAGCAAAGGAAGCCCATTTATTGATTGGTTATTTGATTTTTTTTCCCCATCTGAGGTACAGGTGGCAAAGATTTTCTCCCATTCTGTAGGCTCTTTCTTTCTTTCTTTTTTAATATTTATTTTTTAGTTATAGGTGGACACAGTGTCTTTATTTTATATTTATGTGGTGCTGAGGATTGAACCCAGTGCCTCATGCATGCTAGATGAGCGCTCTACCTCTGAGCCACAATCTCAGCCCCTCTGTAGGCTCTTTCTTCGTGCTCCTGATTGTTTCCTTTGCTGTGAAGGAGCTTTTTAGTTTGATTCTTGATTTTACTTCTTGTACTTCAGGATTCTTTTAAGGACATCAGTTCCTGATCCAATATGTTGGAGTATTGGACCTATATTTTCTTCTAAGTATGTTCAGGGTTTCTGATCTAATTCCTAGGTTTTTGATCTACTTGGAGTTGAGTTTTTTGCAGGGTGAGAGATAGGTATTAAATTTCATTCTACTACATATGGATTTCCAATTTTCCCAGCACCATTTGTTGAAGAGGCTATCTTTTCTCAAGTATATGTTTTTATAAGGAACTTCATCTGATGGTTTCTATTTTGTCACCTAGAAGGCAGTCTCTGAGAAGGAGAGAGCAGATTTAACTATGTTTGAATCCTATTGGTGCAAATTACTAGTTAACCATTGAAACCAACTTCTCAAAAAAGGTACCTCAGTATAGACAAATATCTTCTGGTAATAATTAAGTAGGTTTCTTAGAATACCATGGAATCTAATCATCCTTCCTATCATAGCCTTAAGCCTCTTGAAACTTTTTCAGAACAATGCAAGGTATTAATAACTATATATACATATAACTATATATTTCTGCTTTTTACCTAGTCTACTTTCATTTTTCTCTTTAGTTATTCTTTTGTCTTTACCTTCTACTCTGAAAATGGTACTAAATAATCTCTGGATTTAAAAGGCACTATTGTACTACTTTATTGTATTTTATAACTTTTACTTTAGAGATCCTTACCACACAAATAATTCAAATAACATTGGAAGTTATTAAGAGCTCTGGGTCCCAGAATAAAAATAGTAGAGACATTTAAAACCAGTTTACAGACCATGAAAAGTGAAAAATACTAAGGTACTCTTTCAAGTGCATTTTTTTAACTTTTTTCTGTTATACAGAGATGGAAAAAAAGCTGAAGGAAGAGAGAGAAGCTCGAGAGAAGGCTGAAAATAGAGTTGTTCAGATTGAGAAACAATGTTCTATGTTAGATGTTGATCTGAAACAATCTCAGCAGAAGCTGGAACATTTGACTGAAAATAAAGAAAGGATGGAGGATGAAGTAAGAAAAATCACACTGATTTTGTTTTTGTTTTTGTTTTTGTTTTTTTAGAACAGAAACAGGATTCTGTTTGTATGTTATGTGCCAAGAGTCATTATCAGTAATTTAAATACAATGGAAATTTGAATGAAATGACTTATATGTTTTTATGTTCCCTACAATATATGGTTATCCTAGCACCTAGAATTTTCATTTCAAATTCTTTACTTCATAGAATTTTTTTCATTTTGCATTATGACAGTACAACTGCATTGAAATGTCATAGTTCCTCCCCTGAAGAAACTGATATTCTACTAAAAAACAAACTTACTTGGGTTACACAACTTACTTGGCTTAAACAAACAAGCAAACTTGGTTTACACATTTATAAAGCTGTTGCTAAAAGGACGAAAAGACAATATATGTTGGTATATTATACATGCTTTGGAAATTCTTTGTAAGACTGAAAATAGAAAAGCCTTCCCAAGACTTAACTTGGTAGAGGAAATATTATCAKTGTAAGATACAAATTAAAGACTGAGCTGGGGGTAGGGGTGCATCCTATAATCCCAGCTACATGGGAGGTAAGGCAGGAGGATAACAAGTTTGAGACTAACCTGAGCAATTTAGCAAGATTCTATCTCAAATAAAAAATTAAGAGGGCTGGGAAGAGTACCTCTGAGTTCAATCCCCAGTATCCACTACCCTTGATAGGTAATAAGATATGTGAGTAAAGGGCAAAAGGGAACTTGATCTGACCAGAAGAAGAAAAGACATGTTGAGTTATCATGGGAGAAATTTGGGGACCTAAGTATTGATACTCTTTAAAACTTATGTAGTAGCTTTAGGTGACAACATTCTTTTAGGAAAATTAATCTGGTATTGGTATATAGAATTAATTAAAATGGAGAGAGATTAGAGATGCCTTTCAGAGCTGGCACACTGGAGGAATGTATGTTGGAAATTTGAAAGATAATAGTCACTTTAAAAACATAATTCTTGGGGCTGGGGATGTGGCTCAAGCAGTAGCTTGCTCTTCTAGCATGGGTGCGGCCCGGGTTCGATCCTCAGCACCACATACAAAGATGTTGTGTCTGCCGAAAAGTAAAATGTAAATAAAATATTTAAAAAAAACATAATTCTTGACTACCTGTTATTATATGCAAACTCTGTGCTAGGAGTTGGGGTTACTGAGGTAAATAAGGTAGGTGTSATCTTTTGAGACTTTATTACAGAGAGGGAAATGTGGAATATTAAAATTACAAGCATGCCAGGTGGTTAAAAAAAAGAAAGTATAGAATGCTGTAGTATGTAACTAATCACAKCTGAGAGTTAAGGAAGGGCTTGCTAAGGGTGTGACACTTAAGAGCTGAGGAATAAATAAATTTTTAGTAATTAGTTTGGATGTGCTCTAGTTTATAACCCTTCAAAGAAGAAGACAGAAGGAATAGCATGTGTAAGAATTATGAGATGAAGAGTTTACTGCATTTGAGGATCTGAATAATATGATAACATTGAAGAGAATGACCAGTGATAGGATTAGAGAAGAGTGGATCATGAAAGCACTGTAAACCACCATAAGAATTTTTTATTTATTGGTCCCATCACCTAGTATTTTATAAATATTGGTAACAAATATTTATAAATTAAATATTGAATTTGTTTTGTAAGCTTTGGAAGGTTGTATACTAGAGCATTTATGAATAAACAGTAAATTTTAAATACCCTTTTGGACTGCCCCCCCAAAAAATGTGGCTTTTATGATCACTTTGTATTCCAAAATGTTGATGTTAGTTAAGGTAGAAAGAAACTAGATTTTTTTTTTTTTTTTTTTTTTTACAAAACTTGAAATTTGGGAATTGATTTGACTTATTAGTAAATATCCAATAATAAACATAAAGAAAAATGGAGACTTATTAGAATACTAATATTCTTTATTAGAATAAAGAATTGTTATATTTTTGAGGTTTGATTAGTATTCTTTCAAATAATTCCAAATAAATTATTGTAAAGAAATTTAAGATGTTAATTATTTTTCTCACCCTTAGGTTAAGAATCTAAGCCTGCAATTGGAGCAAGAATCCAATAAGCGACTGTTGTTACAAAATGAATTGAAGACTCAAGCATTTGAGGCAGATAATTTAAAAGGTTTAGAAAAGCAGATGAAACAAGAAATAAATACTTTATTGGAAGCAAAGAGATTATTAGAATTTGAGTTAGCTCAGCTTACAAAGTAAGTATTGAAAATACCATTGTGTTTTCTTTTTTGTGTTCAGTGTTGGTTTATGTGTTTGATTATTTTTTGTGTATTCAGATTATGTACCCAGAGTTTCTGAAAAGAAGTCAGGAAAAGCCCTTAGAAATTGAGGAAATTGCTTGCAAGGGAATTTAGGCTTTGGAATGAAGACTTACTAAATTAAAAATATAGGTATTTAAAAATAGGCTTCAAACTTATATAGTCTGTTTATGATGGATAAAACACAATTTTCTCATGTTTTTTGTATCCATAAAGGTCATCACATGTCTTCAGACTAGTTATAAAAATCAGGGATAATTTTCTGTTTTTTTGTTTTGTGCATTGTAGTTGTACATGATGGTGAGATTTGTTATTACATATTTACATGTGCATACAATATAATTTGGCCAGTATCACTTCCCAGCATTTCCCCCSCTCCTCATAAATTTCTTTTTATTAATGAGATGATCAAGGTTTCTTCATTTTGGAGTCTAGAATTAGACATGAGTCTCTGAGKGTTTTATTTTTCTGATTTATTTATTTATTTGTTTCTGTTGGTGCATCTTAGAGTGCAAGATGTCTTTTTTCTTCTTGTATTACTCTTAAGAAATGATGTACATGCTTACTTGAAATGGAGTGTCCATGTTGCTTTGAATTTATGAAGACATGCTTCAAAAGTTTAATATCAAATATGATATGATTTATGCCAAGTCATGCATTTTATTTTGTTTTATAATATTTTCACTTGCCAGTTTTATTTGCAATTCAGTGTTCCGTGGATAAAGTTGTCAGTTTTTCTTAAGTTGGATTTAAGCAGGACACAGGTGTGAATGCCTGTAATCTTAGCTACTCAGGAGGCTAAGGCAGGGAATGGGAGTGCTGGGAATGTAGCTGAGTGATGGTGCGCTTGCTTAGCGGACATCAGCCCCTGGGTTCAATCCCTAGTACAAAAAGAAAGAAAAGTAAAGTTAGATTTATGTTGGTAAAATTCTTTACACCTTTTAGAGCCAYGATTTTCACCCATTAATGTGAATTATATTTTTCTTCTTCCCAAGTAACTCTCAACACAGCATTGAATGGACATTATAACACACTTYTCATCAACTACATGCCTTGTTAGGTACAAAAATACAAAGTTATTACTAATATTCAAATTTAGCAGTTACAGATAAAGTTATTAACCTTTGAAAATCTGTCTTTGAGGTGCATTGGTTCCATTTGAGTCTTTTCCTATCAGTTGTGCTTATGTGTGTACTCTGTACATGTTTTGCCTGTGTTTCTCCTTTCTCAGTTTGCTACTCTTATTTTCCTTTTCTAATTATTAATTTCCACTACTCCCTTCTTGTGCTTAATTAGCCATGCTATATAATAGTGAATAATTGCTTATTAAATATTCCTGCCTAGTTTTGTTTACTTGTTACCTCAGGCATTTAAAATGTATCCCTCTCATTGCTTTTCTCTATAAAAATTGACAAAAAAATAATTTTATTTTTGGTTTGAATAGATGCACAATTAATGTCTCCTGAAAGTGACCCTAATTAGAAAAGGAATCCCTCTCCTTTGCATAGCATCATTTCAAAAAGAGCAAGATAGAACCGGACAATGTGACTGACAAAATGAATTAGTAAAATAATGCTATATAGGGGCTGGGGATGTGGCTCAAGCGGTAGTGCGCTCGCCTGGCATGCGTGCGGCCCAGGTTCGATCCTCAGCACCACATACAAAGATGTTGTGTCCACCAAAAACTAAAAAATAAATATTTAAAAATTCTCTCTCTCTCTCTCTCTCTCTCTCCCTCTCCCCCCCTCCCCCCTCCCCCCCTCCCTCCCTCCCTCCCTCTTTCCCTCCCTCTCTTTTTAAAAATAAATAATAATGCTGTATAATGAAGTATATTTTTAAAAAAGGTTATTGTAGGGAATCTTTTTAATTTTAGCAACTTTAATAAACTAAGATTAATTTAAAGTCTAGTAGAAATAGAAGCATTGGTTTACTGTTTCTCCTTTTATCTGCAGACAGTATAGAGGAAATGAAGGACAAATGCGGGAGCTACAAGATCAGCTTGAAGCTGAACAATATTTCTCGGTAAGTGAGAATCATTTTTAACTTGTGGACTGTTTCAAGACCTTACTTAAAACAAGGCATTTAGATCTTTTTTACATACTGATTCTTTTTCAAATACTGTGAAGTTTTCTCCCTTTTCATCCCTATGTCTACATTTCATATCTGAATCTGAGTTCATGGTCTTAAAGAAATGACCATTTTTGTGTAAACATTTCCAGAATTGCCATCAAATTAGAGATATAAATAAGACTGTTAAAGGTTCTGCTTTCATATCAGCAAACCATTTATAGTATATAGCTCACTTTTACATATCAACGTGGCCTTTGAGTTGTAGATAGAATTAATGTTTAAGAGCATTTTTTTTCTGTTTTAGCTAGGTGTACACATTAAGTGAATTTGTTTGGCTTTTTCCTCTGTATTTACTATTCTACCTCTTAATTTGCTGTAGGCAAAGTTATTTTTACTGCTGTAATGAACATTTATAGCTGATGCTTTGAGGCTTTATTAAAACCTCTCTGTTTTGTTTTGGTTGCCAACCTTCTGCTTTGCCATTTCATTTCATCTTAAATAGTTATCAGCTTGTACTGTTAGTATTACCCTGGCAGCCACCTGATCTACAAGTCAAAGTCAGTTTGATGAAATTCATGGAATTCAGATTACATTAGTGAACATACCCTAGAAACCAAGTGTGAATGATATTGGAAGTAAAATCTGAACAGGGCTGGGGTTGTGGCTCATCGGTAGAGCTCTTGCCTATCACGTGCAAGGCCCTGGGTTCGACCCTCGGCACCACATAAAAATAAATAAATAAAGGTATTTTGTCCAACTACAATTAAAATATATATTATTTAAATCTRAACACCATTAGACCTCTATATAGTTTCTACATAATTTAGAGCTTCATGATACATTGATTCTATATACTGTTTATCTTCTAATAAACACTATGACTTTCTATTTTTTGTTTTATTTTTCTTGGCTTAAGAAGCCATCATAAGAATGCTTTTCAATTAAAAAAATAATAATAATCAATATTGTTAAAATCTTTCCCCGGGTTTAGGTTAATCTTAATTATTCAAGTATGTGCTACCAACTTCTGCATAGTGGTCTGTAGCATCCTCCATTCTTCATCTGCCTGCTTCCACAGAATATTCATGCAGTGCCTCCAGATTTTAGATGGATATCAAATGACTTGTGGTAGTTTCTGTGGATTCTTGATTTTGCCTCTACAAAATAATAATAAAACCTGACCCCATGTCTTAGTTCCAGTTTATTCCATTGATTGTGAGGATTCCATTAGGTAGCATTCAATTAATAAGCTATAATGAACCAAATTTAAAATTTAACTTTAATCTGGACTTTAAAATTGAATTGTTTTTCATTTTATCCCTTAACTGATCCCTCATATAATTTCATTATTTAAAATGAGAAAAGAGATGAGAATCTAGTTCCTACAGGCAAATGAATTAATTTTAAAAAGTATAAACACTTAAACTACAGTAAGCCCTCTCTTTTTTCTTTATTTGCATTACAATACAAATTATTTTTTCCTCGAGAAGTGCTATTTCTAGAGAAGTAATTGACGTATGCAGCATAAAAGTTGTCCTCTGTCGCTACACTCTGGTCCTTAATATTCTTTTTCCTTATCCCATCTTTTAAGATAAAATGGGTGGGGTTTKTTTTTTTTTWWWAAAAAAAAAAAAAAGAAAGAAATAGACATCAGAACTAGTTTTCTGTTACTTCAGCACCACATCTGGGTCTGATCTGTTCAGCATTTGTTGATGGAGTTGGCAAAAGCCTAATGAATTTTTTGAGAACTATTGTACTACTGTAAGTATATGTTCTTAGGTTGATATTTCTGTCTCTCAGCCACCCTTTCCATCCACCTCAGCCAAAAAGAGAAGTACTTTTTGTAATATTATTCAGTTCAAGAATTGAACTTTATATGAGTAGTACTTGGCTAGATTTTTGAAAAATATTTTCTCAAATAAATACAATTTGTGTGTTATTAAGTATAATTTCTATATAATAGATATGTACAGGGTTAAGAAGTTTGACAGATACGTACACTCATGTAACTGCCGTCACAACATGTACAACATTTTCTTCACCACAGAAAATTTCTTTGTGGCCCCTTTCTTCCTACCCAACTCCATCTGCTGGCAACTACTGACTTGCTTTCTGTCACTACTGATTATTTTCACCTATTATAGGATTTCATATATGTGAAATCAAACAGTATGTGTATTCTTTAATGCCTGGTTGCTTTCACTCAACACATTTTTTAGATTTATCGTGTTGTATGTATCAGTTCATTTCTTCTTATTGCTGAGTAGTATGAATACATCATAAGTTTTTTAACAAGTGGATTAATGAATATCTGAATTGCTTCTGGTTTGGAGCTACTGTGAATAAATATCACTTTAATGGAAAGTTATGTACAAGACTGTGTACATRACTGCATTTGTCATGGGTAAATACTTGGGAGTAGAATTGTTGGACATATGTTTCTTGTTTATAAGAAACTGCTGAACTGCTGCCCAGCACAAACCTTTATTTCTTTCTTTTTGTTTGCTAATTTCAGTAATTTTTTATTTATTTTGCATAACTTTGAAATACTAATATTGATACTGGCATTTTTTGATGTATTCAGAGTTCCTCAAGCAAAATGTACAAATATTTAATATGTAACAAGTAAAAAAAATCAAATATATTCTAAAACAAGTAAAACATAAGTTTTAAGAAGTATGAATATTAAACATATATATATTTTCTGGGCTGAGTTTATTTTTATTTATTTATTTTMTTTATTTATTTTTGCATTACGATTTTTAATACACCTTTATACCACAAACCTTCATTTATTATCACTTGTTTTGCAGACACTTTATAAAACCCAGGTAAAGGAACTTAAAGAAGAAATTGAAGAAAAAAACAGAGAAAATTTAAAGAAGATACAAGAACTACAAAATGAAAAGTATGTCCATTTTGCTTTAGAATAAGAATCAGTACTACAACAAAGTATTCTTAAATTTAATCTTAAAGATATTGTTTTAGTCAGCTTTTTTGTTGCCTTGACCAAAAGATCTGACAACAACAATTTCAAAWGAGGAAAATTTTATTTGGGGCTCATGGTTTCGGAGGTCTCGGTGCATAGACAGCTGGCTCCATTGCTCTGAGCCCAAGTTGAGGCAGCATGTCACAGTGGAAGGTGTGACAGAGGAAAGCAGAGACTCCACTCACCATGGATAAAATATATACCCCAAAGGCACACCCACAGTGACCCACCTTCTCCAGGCACACCCTACCTGCCTACAGTCACTACCCAGTTAATCCCTATCAGAGGATTAATGTACTGATTATGTTAAGGCTTTTGTAACCCAAGCCTTTCACATATAAGCTCTTTTTTGCATTGTCTCACACATGAGCTTTTGGGGGACACTTTGTCTAAACTATAACATACGTTGAGTAGGTGTACCATTATTTTGATGGGAGTGGTATAACACATTTTACTTGGATAATTGAGAACAAATTAGTCTATGCTGAAATTTACTTTTACAGTGAAGAAGCAGTGTAATAAATTAATAATGTAGTGGTTGCACAGAAATTCACTGTTTTAGACTGTGACAAGAAGTTGTTTTCAAGGGTCTGTCAATCTTTAGATGTTTATTTATGTATAGGTAACTCATTCTCTATATGCAGTCATTATTTTATGTTAGGTGAAGGTTTTTGTTTTCTTAGTATTATGATTCAGGTTAATTTCCATTACATGTACACTTTAGAAGAGGAAATCATGGACTCCAGATCAAGGCCCTGGGTTCAATATCTTAGCAGCACTAAATAAACAAGTAAACCTTTTAAATCTATTTAAGGATAACAACCTCATTTTAGAATTGAACTGAGAGGCCCCAAAAGAGAGTGACTCATTCAGCTGGGTCTCTTACATAGTTAGAGAGTGTCAGAATGGACTCTGAAACTAGTTATCTGATATTATTATATTGTTTCATTTAACCTCCTTTGAAAAAAACTAAAAATTTTTAAGTAGATCTTTTGGCATGTAGTATTTCCCTTAGTTGTGATTTTGCTGATTCTGTTTCCATGATTAGTTRAACCATTACCTCCTTTGTGTTTCTCACAAATCAGTTGTTAAATCTAGAGCTGCTCTGTCTTGTATGGTAACCACTAGCCACATGTAGTCATTTAAATTTAAATTCATTTATATGAAATTAAAACTTTAGTTCCTTAGATGTACTTCCTATGTTTCATAGATACTCAATAGTCACATTAATGCAGATTTAGAATATTTATACCATCTGAAACAGGAATTTGACACCCCTGATCTCGAGGATTAATAGGTTTAAATCTGGCTTTTAGAAGGGAGAAGTCTACTTTATATGAAACCTTGCARTGCCTTATTGTCTCTTTGTATTGTTAGCAACCATGGATATTCAATGTTAGATCCTTATCACCTTAGGGAAGTGGAGATGTTCTACTTTTATACTCTTCATTTGTTTTAAGATATGTAAGTTTTTTTGATGCTAGGGATTAAGCCCAGGGTGTAATGCATTCTGAGCACATGCTGTACCACTGAGCTACACACCTGACCTCAGAACATATTTTTTATTTTAAATTCATTTTTAACAATTTTATAAAATAAACTTGGATGAGACTTTTTAYTATTTAGCCTTGTTGACTTAATATCATAATGCCTTGGTAGTAATTACATTTCTTTTATGATTAAGTGGCCTTATTTTAGTTATTAAAATATTTGAAACACAAAATCAACAATGATTTATTACTGAGCTGTTGATCATCATAAAATTGAGCATCACGTTAAGTGTCAACATATTAATTTGGCAGCCAAGTGTTAGAGTTAATAATTATAGTCTGATTTAGAAAGCTTCCTTTCCTGGGCAATCCAACAGTAGCTCCGTTGTAGAGTCTAATTTGTTAACTGCCATTTGTAATGTGCAGTCCAAGGTGAGTGCATTCACTGTGAAAAGAGTCTCTAATTCCCTATGTACTATTTTGTTTCATAGGGTTAATATATTTGCCCTTGTTTTATCTATTTAAGACAAATGTATTGATTATCCCTATTGCTATGCACTGTACTTTGTGCCAACAATATAATTATTAGTAAGTTATGGTTATTTAAGTGCTTAAGAATTGATAGAGGAAACAGATCTAATTAAGGTAAGGCAAAGTGCTTTTGAAACACATTGAAGGGGGGATATATCTCTTCTTAACCATGTGGGATTCAGAGAACATTTCCCAAAAGAGTTAAGAACTAAGTAAAAAACAGAATTTAGCCAGGGAGTGAGGTAAGGGAAAAGGGGGACCGTATAGGTAGAAACCAGGCTAATTTGAGTTGAGGAACAGTACATAGTTTAGTTTGTGACAGAAAGGATAAGAGAGATAAATCTGAGTCAGATTATAAATGGYCTTGTGTGTCAAGCTAAGAAGTTTAAAACATTGAAAAGTGAAGAGTTTTATTTTTCTCTGTTTTATATCCCCAACACAACACCTAGATCAGGGTCTTGCAAAGAATTAAGTGTTCACAGTATGGCATAGTGGTGCCCTCCTGTGGTACCAGCTACTCAGGAGGCAGAGGCAAGAGGATCACTTGAACCCAGGAGTTTGAGAACAGCCTGGATAAACATAGTGAGACCCTCTCCTACCTCAAAAAATTTTTCATAAATATAAAATGAATAAATGAAAATTCTAAGCCAAGAACTGACAAGTATTTTAGAAAGTTCACTCTGATTAAAGAGTGGAGAAGAGATTGGGGTAGAGCAAAACAGTGTGGATAAAGGGAATCAATTATACAACCACTGGAATAATCTAGATATGAAATCATAGTGGAAATTGGCAGTAGGAAGAGAGAAAAGCATATGGAAAGAAATGGGAAGTAGAAGTAGGATTTGGAGATTTAGAGAGATGATAGGAGTAAAGTTTAGGAAAAATTTCAGGCCAACTCTTCAAGTTTGTTACTAGAACAGTTGAATTGATAGTAATTCCTGAATTAGAAGAATGTCGAGTTTGGGAGTTGAGGGATTATTTTAATGTCAGGTTTGTAGACTTTGAGGTGCTTTGGGATATCCAAATAGAAATGAAAACCTGGGCTTTTGGGCTTATTGCTGTAGAATTCAGAGGAAAGATAGGGACTTAAGGCTGATTTGATAAATTGCATATGAAGTCACTAAGATGATTGAGAATTATTAATGTGATGGTGTATCTCACAATTTATAAACTCATGAACCTTGAAACCATACGTGTACCTGAACTGAAGTTAGCTAAATACATATATATTCATTGTGTGAGTTGTGAGAATTATAAGAAACTTTAGAGACAGGGTCTCACTGAGTTGATTAGCTCCTTGCCATTGCTGAGCTGGCTTTGAACTCTAGATCTTCCTGTCTCAGCTTCCTGAGCCACTGGGATTACAGCCGTGCACCTCCATGCCTGGCTACAAGATCTTCTGATTTTTCAAGAGAAGCCAGGAATCTAGATTTTTATGTTAAATAGTGACCTAGATTATTTTAATTGTGTGTGTGTGTGTGTAAGAGTGTGTATGCATGTGCATGTATACACAGGGATGCATGTTTGCCTGGAGGGGAAAAAAGAATAAACACTTTTGTGGACACTTATTCCTTCCAAATTATAACCCCAAGTATAGGATCAGAAGACACAGGGTTAAGGAAGAACTTCTTGATCTTGTACTTTTCAGAATGAACAGAGGTAGAAAAAGTAAATAATACACGAGAAAGTCAGAGGCGGGTAGTACAAAAGCTAAGGGAATTGAATATTTTAAGAAAGAGAAAATGGTTTAAATGCCAGCTATTCAAAAGGTCAAGGAATAAATAAATAGTCCATTATATTTGTACCAAGATTGATTGTTAACTTGATGAGACCAATTACTAAATTGTGATGAGAATAAGACTCAAGTCAAAGAATGCATGGAAAGGGTAGAAATAGAGATAGAGTATATACAACACTCACGTTGATTTTCTTAGTATTCAACAAACCTGTCATTCTGGACTTGTTCTTCCCCCTGCCCAGAACATTTTCCTCTAAATGACCACATGGCTTGCCATTTAACCCTCTTCAGTYTAGGTCTAAACATCATCTCAAAGAGACCTTCCCTGATTACGCTTTCCGAAATTCCAGTCATCCCATGCAATCCCATTTCCTTGCTGCTCAATTCATGTGTCATTTCCTATTTTATTTTTCTTTGTAGCACTTATCTCCCTCATATATTATGGTTTTGCTTAATTACTTTTCTCATTTGTTGTTTTTCTTTCCACTAAAACTTCAGCCTCATACCTATGCAACAGAGCTTTTTTCTTAGTTCTGATTCATTTGTATAGGCCCAGCACCTACAAATGTACCTGCAACATTACAGTATTCAGTAAATCATTTTTAAGTTAAAAAATTCAGTGCTGGTGGATGGGGTTGTGGCTCAGCAGTAGAGTGCTCGCCTAGCACATACAAGACCCTGGGTTCGATCCTCAGCACCACATAAAAATAAATAAATAAACAATAAATAAATAAACAGGTTTTATGTCCAACTATAACTAAAAAATAAAATTAAAAAAATAAATTCAGTGTTGGGCATGTAGGTCCATGGTAGAGAGCTTGCCTAGTAAGTGCAAGCCCCTATATTTAATCCCCAGTACCATTTAAGGGGGGAAAAAGAAACATTCAAGAGATGTGACTGTTAAGACAAAATGTAGCAGTAGCTGGAGGAGAATGGGAGAATGTGAAGGGAAGCCCCCCCTTTTTTAAAGGTAGCATTAATTTGAGCATATGTAAATGGAGTATGGGAAAAGTTGCACATGCATTCATTCAAATAAATAAAATATCTGAGTACTTTCCATGGGCCAGAGAATTTTCCAGGCATTATAATCAAGAAGAATGGAATTATTGATAATTTAAGTTCTTTGAGAAGACAGGAGAATAAAGGTAAGAATGACTTTAAATATTAATAAAGATAGGTCCTTCACCATTAAGAGTTACAAAGAAGTCTTGGYGTATATAGATGAAGATAATTTTACCCTGAACCATTTCATTCTTTGCTGTGCAATTTCATGATCAAGTATAGAAATATATTTTAGGATAAAAACATTTTTTGGCATTTTGAAGTATAACTTAGATATTTCTTATCTGAATTTAATGCAAAGCAATAACCCCAGATAAGAATATCATGTACCTGAAGCAATGTTTTCTTCTTCTAATGTACTCACTCTTCTTTAACTAGTATTTTGTATCTTCTCCTCAAATGCAACTTCTCATCCTCAGTTAATGACCTTATTTCCTAGAAGTGAGGAGAAAACATCTGTTCCCTCCTACCACCATAGCATTACAAATAAACTTTTTACTTGTTTTACTTGTTATTCCCTCTGCCTGAAGTACTGTATTCCCAAATAACCTGCATTGCTTATTCATGTCTCTTCTCTAATGTCATCTTAACGGAGCGGTCTTCTCAATTACTTGTATGATAAAATTGTGATCACATTCACAACTTTTTCCACATTTTATCTTCTTTTATTCCCTATGATATACTACATATTACTTGTTCATTTTTTAAATTGTATGACTCCACTAATATATGCTCCCTGAAAGCAGGAATTTTATTAGTACTATATGCCTTAATTCACAGAACAGTATTTGGCACATAGTAAACATTCAGATAAATAGTTGTTGGGTAAATGAATGAATATTTTTTCTGTATATGTGAATACTATATGTCTCCCTCCTTAGTTTTAAGGCAGAAAAATTGATTTCTAATATTAGTTAACTTATTAGAAAAGTTGCCTTGTTAGAAAATAAARGTACAGAATCATTTGTTCAGAAAACATTTATTGAGTCCCTATGGTATACAAGGAGGATATAATGGTAAACAAGGTAATTTATCCCAGAGAGTTTCTTTGGGAAGAACAAGCTAAAAGATTTTAAAGTGTAATTTCCAAAAAAGCATTTCCAAATGTTTCGTAGTGGATCACAAATCTATGTCTTTATAATCTCCTTGAATTGCATTTAAGAGATGTCATGAATAATTTAATTTAGCCCTTCCATTTTATAGAGTTGATAAATTGAGCTCCAGGAAGTATAGGGAACTCTCCCAATTAGTGATAAGGATAAAGATCCAGGTCTGGCATCCTAATTTGCCAGCCAGTGAATTGTCCATGTGCTTTACTATCTTCTATTTCAAATCCACAATAAATTCCTATTCAAAAATAGATGGGCCAGGTGTGGTAGCACATGYCTGTAATCCCAGCTACAGGGAGCAGGGGTTGCTGAGGTAGGAGGATTGTGAGTTCAAGCCAGCCTCAGTAAAGTGAGGTGCTAAGCAGCAACTCAATCTCTAAATAAAATAAAATACAAAAAAAAAATAGGGCTGGGATGTGGCTCAGTGGTCAGTGCCCCTGAGTTCAGCCCCTAGTACAAAAAAAAAAAAAAAGTAGATAGCTTGAGAGGTTAAATTCATTACTTCTATAGAACATTTGCAGCAGATTTAAAAGTTTACTTTAATCAATAAAATCTTTAGTTCTTTTTTATCATTTAAAGATATTTGTGTTTTTAAACGTGTGATTAAGTTGGGAGAATTATCCATTTTTCTTAAAAATTTGTTGCAGAGAAACCCTTTCTACTCAGTTGGATCTAGCAGAAACAAAAGCTGAGTCTGAGCAATTGGCTCGAGGACTTCTGGAAGAACAGTATTTTGAATTGACCCAAGAAAGCAAGAAAGCTGCTTCAAGAAATAGACAAGAGATCACAGATAAAGATCAYGCTGTTAGTCGGGTAAGTGTGATAGATAAAGTATTTGTAGATTAAAATTGATGTAAATCAAAATAGGTTACATATAAAGCATTAAAGGAAATGTGTATGTATGCATATTTACATTTTATACATAGTGATTATTCTATACTCATGTATTAGATTATTCAATCCAAAACAGTACTGGGCTTTTTTTTTTCCTAACTATAAAACTTTGAAGTTCAGAGTTCTTTGAAGTTCAGAGAAATCAASTTGGGATGAAAAATTCTTTGTGGATACTATATGAATCCATTATAAGAAAGTCAGTATTATAATTACCTATTCCTGAGTTTTATATATAGTCTTTATAGAATCATGGGACTAAAGTAGGAGTTAAAAAGATTTTTCTTGTTTTGAAGTCGTCTACATGTGCTCTGGTTTAAGCAGTCCTGGATTCAAATCCTGACTTTACCCCCAAGAAGTTATATGATCTTGCAAAGTTGCTTTAATTTCTCTAAGCTTTAGTTTCCTTATGTATAAAACAGAAATAATACCCATTCTATATGATTTTTATGAGGATTAAATGAATGATCAATAAATACATTACTTAAATAATCAATCAATATTTATTGTCATTTTCATCATCATTATTCAGATGAAGAAACTGAGGTCCAGAAGGCCAATTACTTACCCAAGATCACATAGTAGATTAATGGTAGAGCTCGAGCTGTACACAGATTTCCTGATTTCCAGTCTAGTTCTCTTTCTATTATGCTTTTTTCCTTTTATTTCTATATATGCATATGCTGAAATAATTTTTGGAAACTAATACCTAGAATTTATTTATGTCCACATATCTTAAACTGGAAACTAGGTATTTTCTGTAGTTTGTGGTGTCTGACATKTCCTCATCTATGGAAAATGTAAAATATTATCTTTAAGGTTTTAGCTTTAAATATAAGAGGAGCAAAGAGTCTGAGCAGTTGACTCGAGGACTTCTGTAAGAACAGTATTTTGATTGACCCAAGAAAGCAAGAAAGCTGCTTCAGGAAATAGACAAGAGATCACAGATAAAGATCACACTGTTAGCTTAAATCTTTGTATGCTTTGTTTAGCTTGAAGAAACGAACAGCATGTTAACCAAAGATATTGAATTATTAAGAAAAGAAAATGAAGAGCTAACTGATAAAATGAGGAAGGCAGAGGAAGGTATGTAGGGTTATTTTTTTAATCATAATATTAAATTCAGTGACTACCTGTTTATGTTATCTGTTTGGTTTTTGAAATATGTTTTCATATATTAAATAACTTTGATAGCCCTAAGAATTCTCTTAATGAATTTATAGGAAATTATCATATAATGCATAGTAATTTGAATAATTGAGGACAATGTTAATTTGAAATGCAGAAATTAAATTATTTAATGCTATACAATAACATTTTGTATAATTTGCTGGCAGAATATAAATTGAAGAAGGAGGAGGAGATCAATAATCTTAAGGCTACTTTTGAAAAGAATATCAATACAGAACGAACCCTTAAAACACAGGTATACATGTTTTCGACCTTTTCTATGGGTTTGTATTTGAGTATCATATTATGGGGAAGTTAATAATTACTCCTTATACGCTTTTTCTTAAAACTACAGTAATAAGTTTCAAGTTTTTCATTTGAAAAATAATGTAATTCACTTCCAAMTAAATGACCTATTTGGGAAATAGAACTTTAATTTTAAAAGCTAGTTTGTCTAGCAGTTTGTTTAGTTAGAATGTGTTTAAACTGTATTGAAGACCTGTGGTTAATAATAGGAAAACATGAAGAGAAGACACAGTATTGAAAACAAGAGAGAAGATGTGGGAATAAAAAATAAACTGTAGGGGTGCATGTATAATTTTGCTTTGAATTTAATGATGCCTCTAGATAAGATTTTTGTCCATTAAAACTACATCTTATGGCTGGGGTTGTGGCTTAGAGGTAGAGCGCTCACCTAGCATTGCCCGAGGCACTGAGTTCCATCCTCATCACCACATAAAAATAAAAATATAAGATTGTGTCCACCTATAACTAAAAAATAAAGATTTTTTTAAAAACCACATCTTATTATTTTATAGTTATCCAATAATTCAAATTCTTCATAACCTATTAAGTATTTCATTTGATTTTTATAATTAAATTTTTTTCTCCTTTTAATTAAATGATCATAGAGTCCCCTTAACACTAATATGCTTTCTCTCTCTTCAGTGCTTCATGTTGCAACTAAAGGAATGTTTCAGAAATGCATTTAATAGATTTTGAAAATCCTTCACTGCAAATTTCATACCAATTCTTACCTTTATACCACAACAAAAATCATGAAGGAGGGGGCTGGGGCTGGGGCTCAGTGGTAGAGTGCTCGCTTAGCACATGTGTGGCCCTGGGTTCGATCCTCAGCACCACATATAAATAAATAAAAATAAACATTTTAAAAAATGGAAATCTGAAACTAGATAGAATTTTTTTAAATTCACAAAAAAAGTCAGAAGGAAAAGATTAACATTTATGTAAAATTTCAAGTGTCTGTGGAGCTCAGTTATCTTTTTGACAGAGTTAAACAAGACATAACTCCTCAGTTGTCAAGAACGTAGGGAAAATTCATTCATATACTATTTGAGGAATTAAAATATAAGAATAATTTAATAGACTAAAGCATTATTATGCATAAATCTTTCACCCAGTGTTTCACATTTAAGAATTTATTCTACTTAAATGCTTAAAAGAAATAAATTTTTAAACTATTTTTAGAMCTGGGTGTGGTGGCACAGCCCTGTAATCCCAGCGGCTCAAGAGACTCAGGAAGGAGGATTGTGAGTTCAAAGCCAGCATCAGCAAACCTGAAGCACTAAGCAACCCAAATGAGACCCTGTCTCTAAATAAAATACAAAAAAAAAAAAGGACTGGGGATGTGGCTCAGTGAGTTCAATCCTTGGTGGCCCTCCCGCCCCCTGCAGAAAAATTTAGTTGTAGATGGACACAATATCTTTRTTTATTTATTTATTTTTGTGGTGCTGAGTATTGAACCCAATGCCTTGTGCTTGGCAAGCACTCTACCACTGAGCTATCACCCCAGCCCTAAAAGAAATACATTTTAAAAATGCTTAAAAGAAATAAATAAAAAACTAATTAATGCTTTTTTTTTTTGGTATTGGAAATGAATCCAAGTGCACTTTAACCACTAAACCTCATCCCAGACTTTTTTGAGTGTGTTTAGACATAGTCTCACTGAGTTACTTAGGGCCTCAATAAGTTGCTGAGGCTGCCTTTGAACTCTCAATCTTCCTGCCTCAGCCTCCCACCCCACTGCTATTACAGGCATGCGCCACCACACTGTATCATTTTTTAATAGTGAAAATATAAAAATAACACAACATGCATTCAATGTAGTATTGATAAATCATGAAATATTCATACAATAGAATGAGAGAGCCATTAAAAATGAAAGAATGGATCTTGATAGTACCTGAGGCTAAAGCAAAAGGCCTTCAAGTTTGAGGCCAGCCTGGGCAACTTACCAAAGTCCTGTCTCAAAATAAGAAATTTTAGCAAAGGGACTGGGGATGTAGCTCAGTAGTAGAGTTTTTTCACGTAGAGTATATGAGGCTCTTCCTGAAGTAGATTTGTGTGAAATGGTATGAGAAAATAGTATTTTCCATGATATAGGATATAGCATTAAACTTAAATTGTGTTGTAGCACAAAATGTGTAATGTGATTTCAGTTTTTAAATTTAAATATGTAGTTTGTTTTTATATTTAGGAAGCATAGAAGATGATATACTTCTAGCAAATTGAAAGGAAAGCAAAGGAAACTTTGTTGATCATTGAGGGATGTGGTATTACACAGGTTTTTAACTTTCTTAATATGTTTCTGTATTTGATTTTTTTGATAAATACATATTGCATATTATGAGTTCCATGAAGTAAGCTTTTGCTGCATTAAGTTACTCAGGAGCTCCTCATATCTAATCTAAAGAAATTATGGTACATAGCACTCTTTTTTTTTTCCTTCCCATTTTTATTTGTTTGTTTGTTTGTTTATTTATTTGCAGTTGTGGATGGACAGAATATCTTTATTTTATTTGTTTATTTTTTATGTGGTGCTGAGGATTGAACCCAGTGCCTCAAGCATGGTAGGCAAGTGTTCTGCCTCTGACCTACAGCCCCAGCCCCATAGCATTCTTTTCTTACTGGAAAAATATTTTTTAAACAGTATTGCAGAACAAATATACCATGCATAACATGTTTTATAGTTTATGTAACTAATTTTACTATCTCAATTTGAATGTACTTTTTTTCTTTCTTGCAAAAGGAATTAACCTGAACTATGTTTACATGACTTTTTACTTTGAAAAGAGCCTTATGATAACTACCTAGTCAGATGCCTTTTCCCTGTTTTCCTACTTGTCCAAAGGGGGGAAAAATTATCTTGGGCCTTTTTGCCTATGTATTGTTTCCTGTGCTTAGCACCATCTCTGGCTTTTCTCCTTTATATCATTTCCCCTTTACTTATTCAACTCCCATTTTCTTTAAGAAACATGTACAGCTGGGATTGTGGCTCAGCAGTAGAGTGCTTGCCTAGCACATGTGAGGCCCTAGGTTCGATCCTCAGTACCACATAAAAATAACTAAAAAATAAAGGTRTTGTGTCCAACTACAACTAAAAAATAAATATTAAAAAAAGAAGAAGAAGAAATATATGTAGGGCTGGGGCTGTAGCTCAGTGGCAGAGTGCTTGCCTGGCATGTATGAGGCACTGGGTTCAATCCTTAGCACTGCATAAAAATAAACAAATAAAATAAAGGCATGCTGTCCATACACAAAAAAATAAGGAAAGAAGGCTGGGGTTGTGGCTCAGTGGTAGAGTGCTCGCCTAGCATGTGTGAGGCCCTGGGTTTGATCCTCAGCACCACCTAAAAATAAATAAATAAAGTAAAGGTATTGTGTATAAATAAAAAATAAACATTTWAAAAAAAAAGAAACATGTGGACACATTTGTAGGTATTCCAGGAAGCATCCTGACTTCTCCAAGTCTCAGTTGGATACTGTTCCCATAGTACCCTTGCATGCCTCTTTGTTCTCATTTATTCTGTGACTATTGCTTATATGTCTAGCTCTTCCTCCAGACTAGGATGCCTTTGGTATATAATTGTATTCCTATATTTATTTCTAGTGTCTAAAAAAGTGCCTGCAACATAATAAGTAGTGCATAATTATTGAACAATGAATTGATTTTTGCAAGACTATCTGGTTCTTACGTTGGAATAGTGAGATAAGTCATTATTAGTGGTTTGTGCTACCAGTTACCATATTCCAGGSTTCATTAGGTTGTTCTAATTTTCAGACCCACAAAAAAGTCTGCTTCCTGATTAAAAAAAAACAAACACATATTTTAGTGGAGATTTAAATTGAATGACTATAATATAGATCCTTATTAATAATATTTTAATAGGCTGTTAACAAGTTGGCAGAAATAATGAATCGCAAAGATTTTAAAATTGATAGAAAGAAAGCTAATACTCAAGATTTGAGAAAGAAAGAGAAGGAAAATCGGAAGCTACAACTGGAACTCAACCAAGAAAGAGAGAAATTCAACCAAATGGTAGTGAAACATCAGAAGGAACTGAATGACATGCAAGCGGTAAGGTTTGTGTGCGTACAAACAGGCACATGTAGGATTATTTTCATAAATTGTTATTACTGTACATATTTGTTACCTATCTTGTTGGATTTTCTTATATAAAAAAGTCCATATGTTAATATATACTTTCACAGTTTTATCATTATTACTTTAATATAAATATTCATCTTGAAAAGCTAGAAAGCTGCCATATGGTTGTTAGTTAACTGTACCTTTTTTATCAATTAACAGCTGCTTTGTTTAAGAGGGCCTACTTTAAGAGATACAGTCAAGGGTTTTCTTTCTTTGGTTTCAGACTGAAATTGGAATATGGCTGTTATAATATTGATTATAGTTGGGGTAGAGGTTTTGAAGTATTATAGCTTTTTTTCTAGTCAAGACTTACTTTTCTGAAATCTAAATATCAAGTTTAACTTTTTTATACTTCTGGCATGTTAATAACATAAAATTATGAACATGATCTCTGATAAAAAACATAGACTAAGATCTAAACTGACTCCATCATTTATGGTTCAACCATCTGGAGAAGTTTTCTGTTCATTTTAAACTAAAATGTATGGAGCCAGAAAAGCATTTCCTAATGCTTTAACATATTTTATTCCTTATGTTAAAAAAAAAAAAACTTCAGAAATTCTTCTAAAAGCAAGGAGAAAAGCAGCTTATCCTAGTGTTGCTTTACTGAGAAAAGCATCAAAATATATGGTAGTAGCCATATTCAGTGACATGCTCAGAAGGCTGCGACAGAAGGGTCTTTTGAGCTTAGAAGTTAAGGGCCAGCCTGGGTAACATACGTAACAAGACCCTGTCTCAAAAAGAATAAAATAAAATTTGTAGTAGTAAATATTCATGGTTTATAGTATGTTTTCATATTAGCAATTTAGATTACTTTTATTTATAATTAATTCTTAATGATGGAAATTACKTGACCTTGATATTATCTTGATATTTTTCAAAAATAGCAATTGGTAGAAGAATGTACACATAGGAATGAACTTCAGATGCAGTTGGCTAGCAAAGAGAGTGATATTGAACAATTACGAGCTAAACTTTTGGATCTTTCGGATTCTACTAGTGTTGCTAGTTTTCCTAGTGCTGATGAAACTGATGGAAACCTTCCAGGTAAGAATAATTCTGTTATGCCATTCAGGTTTTTTTTTTTTATCACTTTAGGTTTAACATAGAATTTTTTTTTAACCCATTTGGTTTTCTATCTCATTTTGTCCATGGATTTTTAAGAAGAAATTATTTCTGATAGCTAAGACCTATGCTAATTATATACTAGGTGCATTTTATAAAATACAGTCATAAGCAGTCTTAGGCTTAAAAAATTTTAGCTCTACCTGAGTAGAAACCTAAAAATTATACTTTTCCGACTAGCAGCTATTTGATGTTTTATATATTCTTGTGCTAAAACTAAGAACTGTACTTCATAATAAAAACCATAACTGCTATATATAGAAACCTACATAATGTAGTAGTATTAAACTTAAATATGACTTTGTTGAATTTTAAATTTGGAGAAATACATAAGAGGGATAGTAAAATGCAGTAAGGGATAGGGAACCAAATAAGGCAGAAGCGAGTGGCTAAGATTTCAAACTTTTTTGTCTTCTTTTTTTCCCCAATGACATCCAATTAAAAARTAAACACAACTTCATTATTGGCTTAATTATAGTAGAAATGAAGGGAATGGGTTGTAAATATTAAAACATTTACGTGTGTGTGTGTGTGTGGTGTATATGCATGTGCACAAGTTCAGGGTTTTAAAAATTTGCTTTACCTAAACTTGAAAATAGACTTTAATTAGTGTATTTCCTGAGTGATTCATAAATAAGATGATTTTATAAAACAGCATAAATTATTATCAGGGTTCTATTGATAATACATTGCTTGTTTTTGAAAATTTCATAGAAGAAATTTGATGGACTGTTTAGAAAATTTTACTATTTTTCTTGATCCAGAAATTGGAACTCCAACTGGAAAGTTGAATTCAATTCCTACTTGCATATCATGTGATCCCTGCCCCATTCTTTGCTGGTTTTACTAGCCCAAAGTCTGATATCTGGGAAAGGAAGAGCAGGGGAAGAATATTTCCTGTTCTAATGGTCAAGGAATTCCTTCTGTTTTCCACTTTTTGCCTATCTGAAATCACCTACCTCTTGAGAAACACATTATAGGAAGATCACTTTAGGTTTAATAAGTACCTCCAGCTTCAGCTTTTTAAATATATTTCTAAAGTTAGTTTTAATCATCAGTAAAAACATGACTTTTAGAGGTTTTTGGCTACATTGTTTTAATTTTTGACCTGAAATTATAGTTTAATTCCCTCTTTGTTAACCCCAAGATATTTTGGGGCAAAAGGGATTCTTAACTCTATTCAATGTCAGTTAAAAATATTGACTAGAACTTTTTCTCTTTTTTTAATATTTATTTTTTAGATGTAGATGGACACAACACAATGCCTTTATTTTTATGTGTTGCTGAGGATCGAACCTGGGTCCCACCCATGCTACTTGAGTGCTCTACCACTGAGCCACAATCCCAGCCCCAGAACTTTTTCTTTATTCCTACCCATTTCTCTCTAACCTGGTTAATATTTTGTGTGTACCTGAGTTTTCTCTGTCTTAGGTTAGTAGGTTAGACATTTCATTAGACAAATTGAATTGAAAGATGTATTGATGGGACCTCCAAAGAAGGTGATGAGTTTTATTCTCCATTCTGGCATATTGAGAAGGCTAAATTCAAAGGCAGATTTGGGCTAGGAATCCATATAGATTTCAGAATCCAAATTAATTTAGGAGTCAGTTAGCAAAGAGAATTTAAATATTTCTACTGTCTTTATTCTGTTTATTACTTAGAATATTAATGTATTTTCAGGGATTTTGTTTTCAAGTTTTTTAATTCCAGACAAAAGTACTGCTAGCATTTCTCCTTTGTTATAAAACAAGCCAGTTAGGTAATTCTTTCCCCTTCACTGTGGTGGTTTTGTTTTGTTTTGTTTTTTTAAGTTGTAGTTGGACATAATACTTTATTTATTTTTGTGTGGTGCTGAGGATCAAACTTAGCACCTCACACATGCTAGGTGAGTGCTCTACCACTGAGTCACAACCCCAGCGCTTTCCCTATCACTGTGTTCTTAATGTTGAAACTTTACAAAGATCTGACAGTCTTGAACCTCAGCTTTCATATTAGAAGTAGAAATGAATGACTTGACTTTTTGAGTAGTTTGGTAAATAAACTAATACTATGTCTTTTATGATTTCTCTAAGATTTAATATTCAATATAAAGAATCTAATTTAATTATCTTCTACATCTAGGAATCAGCCTCTTGTAGATTTGCTCAGTGGGCATCTTGACACTAACTACATTAAATCTCTCCTTGGGCTGGGATATAACTCAGTTGGTAGAGTGCTTGCCTTACATGGACAAAGTCATGGATTCAATCCCTAGCACCCCACCAAAAAAAAAAAAAAATCTAAGTTTCTCAATTCCAAAAAATCATAGGGGAAAAAATAGTATGCCTTCTCTGACTTATAACTGAAGATACTTACATTCTCTTAATTCTTTTATGTCTCATCCTCCTCTTGATTCTGTGGCAGGTTGTGACGTAGCACACTGTATAAATGTAAAGATTACCCATAAAGTTATAGTTAGCCTTTTGCCTAAATGACAAAAATTTTTATGTGATAACAGTCTCTACTTTCTCCTCTTTTCTCTTTCCTTCTTTTGGAACCATTGACCTAGTTACCTAAAGAAAAGGTAGTAGATGAAATACAAAAACACTTGGCATCAGTACACCATTAATATTTATTATCTCTTAGGAATTATCTGCATCATTCTCTTTTTAATACATCTTGATCTCAGTCTTTGGAACCTTAGATTGGTGAATTGCTTGGTGTGCTTCCAAGTATTTGAATATATGAAAGTCTCTGTCTTTACCCTATCAGGRATTTGGAGATAATCAGTGCATCTGAATTCTTGAACATTGGTTATTTTCATTTTCTTTTTTATATTACTTTTGTATATAATTAAAATATTTTAGAATGTTTCTCTGCCTCTCTTTTTTAAATATTATGTGGTTTATCCCAGTAATCACTTTGGTAGTCTTCAGAGGTTAGCTTTGATGATTATATATTGATTTGCATATAATTAAGATCTCTTATTTGAATAAAATAATCAATTGCTGATTTTGCAATAATAAATATCTAATTTTTTGTAAATTAAAATTGTTCTACAAATACACTGTATAAAACCTGGAGCCAGGTTGTTTTGTACTTCTGTAGCAAAATGTTGATGCTAATCTACACTTAAAAGTTCTCAGTGTTGGGCTGGGAATGTAGCTCAGTGGTAGAGTGGCATGTACAAGGCCCTGGGCTGCATCCATAGCACTGCAATAAAAAGAATAAGTTCTCAGCATGAGTTTCTTTCACTTATCTGGAGAAACAAAATTCTATGTTTGTTATGTGAAAGATAGAGTTTATAACATTTTACCTTCAGATTGCCACTTAGGTTATACTGAGTCTTGATGTAGAGGAGGTCTTTATATATAAAAACTAGTAAATATGTTAATCTTCATCTAAGGAGTAAGAAAGGAAACAAGAAAAGCTAGTATGTATCACTGAGCTTAGTTCAATTCCTGACCCACACCTTAATCCAGAAGAGCATAAATGTTTTGGGCATTGATTTTCTTAGAGAAGTTTTTGCAGGAGGTGGAATATTTAGGAATACACAATTTTGTATAAAGGTCAAAATTTATGGGCCTTTATTTTCAGTAAAGAATAACGTGTTAATCAGCTTTATTTGTATCATCAAATATTAACACTACTTTTCATTCAACTACTGTGCTACTGTTCAACTTAATGTTTTCCAAACCRTACTTTAAGACCAAAACTGCAATTTTTGTACTATTAGTGGAAAAACTTCCTAGCAACAATTTTTTTCCTTTTGTAAGGTAAAGTATTTATGAATGATCAATATATGACCAGCAGCCTTCTATACTTTATTTAATATAAAACTGCCTGTTTGGTTGTTAAATTGTAACCAGTATTTACGGAGCATGTCTTTAATTGCTAATTTAGATAAAAATCAGAATAGCAATATAATCAACAAATTTGTCAAGCACCTTCTTTGTGTGTTAGGGATCCTAAAACATAAAACAAGTTTTAGGATCCCTGCTCTTACAAAACTTACGAAGGAATTACACAAGGAAACAAAATAATTATTGATAAATAGAAGAAATTTAAGAAAAAAGTTGCATAAGAGAATTTAAGTGTTTTGAACCTCAGTTTCCTTATTTTTTCCWATAATAAGTATAATTTATATGAAAGATTAACAAACAATATTTGGAGACATAACTATGTGGTGAAAAGTGGGAACAGGAGGAACATTACCATTATTCAATGAACTGCAAGTGTTTGTTTGGGGACACAAACTAGCATTGTGCTGCAAAAACATAAGCTCAGAAATTAGCCTGGGTTTGAACTCAGTAAATGTCCTCTGTTGTTATTATTCCAAGACTGAGCTTTACGGCTTTTAAGTTGTATTATAGAGGGACAGTACATGGTCCCATTAGGATCATGGTTTGAGCCATAATACAATCAATTACATTATAGCATCATACTTTAAAATTGGTTGCCTTTTTGTTCTTTCATGTTTTGAATATGACAGATAAGAAAATACTTAATGTTTATTTAAATAGTAATTTCTAATGGAATCATCTTTATCCCCCAGTTAATTCTGATAAACATCAGTTTTATTTAAATAGCAATAATTATCATATAAAAGGCCTTGATTGAAATAGAGACTTTATGGTACACAGAAAATAATGTAAATATTAGCAGTTGATCAGTTTAATTGTGTTCTTTTTCTGTATATTAAGTTTGTGAACTTAAAAGGCTTCACACCTAGAGTGAACTTGCTTATAGAATTTGGACAATTGAATTAAAATTGTTGTGAATATTTTGCCAGAAAGTTTATCAGAAAATTGCACTGAGAAAACAAATAAAATGCTTATCTCTTATTCTTTATATCTAGTTGATTCTGCCTGCATTCCTTATTTATTTATCTTCTATTCTTGTCTTCTGTGAGTAATAGGACATTTCAGTACTTTTGCTTGCTCTTTCTTGTGTAAATCATGGCTCTGATTTGTTCCACTTGCTGCATAGTTTTTTCTTTTTTGTTTTTCTTTTTGCTAAATATTTTTATATGAATGTTAAGTGATTTAAAGTGTTCTATATTATGTCCCATTTAAGCTGCAATCCATTCCAGTTTTGCCTGGCTCTTACAGATACTGTTACTTCATACTTTTGTAATTGAGTACTAAATGTCCATTTGATGAGAAAAGTGGCTTGGAATTTTTTTCTGCAATATTTGTATGGCCATTAAAGTTGATTTGTGTGACTGAAGCATGAAGAGCGAATTATAGCATTATTCATTTAGCCATTTTCAGTTGCCTGTTGCTGCATGCTATAGGACAACTTAAAATAGTTTTTCCTTCACTTACAATTTAACACTGACTGCTATATAATATGCTTTTTCTCTTAGAATCAAGAATTGAAGGTTGGCTTTCTGTACCAAATAGAGGAAATATCAAAAGATATGGCTGGAAGAAACAGGTAATATATACCTACTTTTTTTTTAATTGATATTTTGTAATGTGTTTGAAGCATGAAACTTATGTTAACTGCTCTGTTATTAACACTGGTTTTAGATTAATACAAAATAGTCTAGACTTAAATGGCAAATGTTACAATTATCACTTTAAAACAAGCTAATGTTACTCTTATAATTCTTCTCCCTTTTTCTGATTGCAGTATGTTGTGGTAAGCAGCAAAAAAATTTTGTTCTATAATGATGAACAAGATAAGGAACAATCCAATCCATCTATGGTATTGGACATAGAGTAAGTTGACTTTGATTGAATTTTAAGTTACTTGAGTATTAACATATGAAATTTATTTTTAGACTTGTTCTGCATTTTATGTTATTTAAACAATGTTATCTACTTTTGTTTTTTGTTTTCTTACATTTATTTATTTGTTTGTTTGTTTTTATGTGGTGCTGAGGATTGAACCCAGTGCCTCACACGTGCTCCACCACTGAGCCACAACCCCAGTCCCTCTACTTTTGTTTTTAATAGACTTAAATTTATTCACTTTGTATGAAATATTTGGCACAATATGAGAAGGAAAATTTTGTGTACTTAATTCATGTACTTGAAAGACAAATTTTTTATTTCAAGCATTTGGTAGTTTTGAGTTCAGAGTATCTTTAAAAAGTATGGAATTCTTTGATCACTACTAGGAGGGATTATTAACATACCTGTGGTTTTTTTAGTAATATATGAGAGAAACCTGTTTAGTATAGAGTTTTTATTTTCCTAGTGTTCATTCCATAGGAACAATAGTATGTTATAAAGATAATTAAGTTCCATATTTAAGGAACTCAGAGACTGGTACTAGAAAAGGTAGAACATGTAACACAACATAAATTCAAAGTGAAATAATAGGTGCTATTCAAGAGAAATGTAAATTTAAATGAATTACTTCTGTTTCTTCAGAATTAAATATTTGTGAATCTGATCATGGTTAGGATGTAAGTAGAACTGAGCAAGTACTAAAAATTACTGATACATGTTTTCATTTCTCATGGGTAAATAAGATAGGAATAGAATCCTGGGTTATAGAATAGATCTGTATTTAACTTTCTAAAAGTCTAAAATATTTCTCAAAAATGATTTTATTGTTTTATATCTACTTACAAGGTATACATTTTGTTGCTCCATGTCCCATTTGACGGTGTCAGACTTCTTTTTTGTGGCCAACTATTCTAGTGGATATGGAGCTACCTCATTGTTTTTTGAATTTTGGTACTGGGAATTGAATCCAGGGCAATAAAGCAAGGAGCCACATCCCTATCCCTTTTTTATATTTTATTTAGAGATAGGGTCTCACTAAGTGCCCTAGGGACTTGCTATGTTGCTGGCGCTGGCTTTGAACTCAAGATCCTCCTGCCTCAGCCTCCTGAGCTGCTGGATTACAGGCCTGGCTCATTGTTATAATTTGCATTTTCTTTGTAACTAATGACATCAAAAATCTTTTGTGTGTTATCTTTTTTGAGTGTTTGTTTAAGAAATAAGTTCTCACTGTGTCACCCAGGGTGACCCAGAATTCCTGGGCTGACAATGATCCTTCTGCCTCAGCCTCCCAAGTAGCTAGGACCATAAGCAGACATCACCATTCCTGGCTTGTTGGCCATTTTTATATCTTTTTCTGAACTGTAAGTCTTTTGCCCAATTTTTGATTGGGCTGCTTATCCTTTTGAGATTGGTTTATTGTATATATGTAAATAAATATTATTCTGAATATATATACATGTATTCAGAATAAGAACCCTGTGTTAGAAATATGTTATGCAGGTATTTCCCAGTCTGTGGCTTACCCATCCATTTTCTTTATTTTTAAGTTTTCTTTTTATCTTTATTGTTTTGTTTGCTTATTTTTATGTGGTGCTGAGGACCAAACCCAGTACCTCACATGTGCGAAGTAAGCGCTCTACCACTGAGCTACAAAGCAGCACCCCCCCCCATCAATTTTCTTAGTGGTATCTTTTTTTTAGGGGGACAGGGGACTAGAGATTGAACTCAGGGGTCACTTGGCCACTGATCCACATTCCCAGTAGAGACAGGGTCTCACCGATTTGCTTAGCACCTCGCTTTTGCTGAGGCTGGCTTTGAACTCGCATCTCCATCTTCCTACCTCAGCCTCCCAAGCGACTGGGATTACAGGCATGTGCCACCACACCCAGCCTAATGGGTGGTATGTGCCACCACACCCAGCCTAATGGTATCTTTTAATAAAGATCAACGTGTCAGCTTTTAAAATGGTTAGTGCCTTTTATATCCTGTTCAAGAAATTTTTGCCTGCCCAGAGGCAAGGTATTTTCCTGTTTTTTTTTTTTTTTAGAAGCTTTACTGATCCACATTTTATGTTTAAGTTATATATTTAAGTTTATAATTAATTTCTGTGTTTGGTAAGACGCAATGGTTAAAGTCAGAGATTTTTTTCCCCCCACATGGGTATCTGGTTGTTTCAGCACTTTTATTTTTTTATTTTTTTCTTTAAAGCTAAGTCTGAGCTAGATACATTTTTATATATTGACCTTGAATTCTCTAACCATGCTGTACTTAGTTTTTATAGGTTCTTTTTTTTAGTTTTAGATTTTTAAAAAATATTTTTAAAATCAATTTCACAGGGCTTTTCTATATAGGAAATCATGTTATTTCCAAATAATTAACTTCTTTCCTTGCAATCTACCTCCCTGTCTCATAGATTTATATAAAACACTACCAGAGTCAAAATAGAAAATAATTTCATCACAAGGATCCCTGTGACACCTTTTTTGATAACCATAGACAGTTTTTTTCCTCTACCTACTTGGTCCCTGGCAACATTAATCTGATCTTCAACTCTATAATTTTGTCATTTTGAGGATATTATATAAATGAACTAAAATATTTTGCAATCACGTATTTTGCACTCACATTTTTTTCACTCAGCATAATTACCTTGAAAGAAATTGTATTTGTAATTGATGTTTCTTGTGGTTATTGAGTTGTACAGGTGACCCTCTGGATTTTGCATCTGAGGATTCAACCAACCACAGATCAGAAATATTCAGGAAAAAATTTGTGTCTGTACTGAATATGTACAGATTTTTTTTCTCGCCATTGTTCCCTAAACAATACAATGTATCAACTATCTACATACAATAGTATTAGGTTTTACAAGTCATCTAAACTGGCATGGTAACACATACCTGTAATCTCAGCAATTTGGGAAGCTGAGACAAGAGGATCATAATTCTAGGCCTGCCTGAGCAGCTTCTTGAGACCTGTGTCAAAATAAAATAAAAAGGGCTAGGTAGTTCAGTATTAGAGAGCCCCTGGGTTCAATCCCCTGTGCTTCCCCTCCCCCCCAAAAAAAAAATTTAAAAAGTAACCTAGAATTTATTTTAGATACATGGGAGGATGTGCATAGGTTTTATGCAAATACCCTTTTTATATAAGGGGACTGGGATTTTGATATTTGCAAATGGGTCTTGGAATCAATCCTAATGATACTGAGGAATGACTATATGCCATAATACAGATGCAGTTTTTTTAACCATTTATTTGTGTTGTATCCAGTTTGGGACTATTATGAATAAAGCAACAATGAATATTCACAAACAAGTTTTTGTATAGATAGAAATTGTCATTTCCCAGAATAAAGATCCAAAAGGGTAATCACTGGGTGATATGTTGAGTATATGTTTAGTTTGGTAAGAAGTTATTATATTCTTTTTCTGAGTAGTTCTGTGSTTTTACATTTACACCAGCATTGTATAAGGGATCCAATTTCTCTGCAGCATTTGATGTTATTATTATTTTTGTTCTAAAATTTTTGATAGTGATATGCATTATAGGGTTTTTTGTTTGGTTTGGGGGGTTTTGGTGGAAAACTGGGAATTGAACCAACGGGTGTTCTACTACTGAGGTACATACCCAGCCCTTTTTATTTTTATTTTGAGATAGGGTCTTGCTAAATTGCTGGGTATTTGGGCTAGCTCTAACTTGCAGTCCTGCCCCAGCCTCCTGAATCTCTTAAGATTATAGGGTGTGCTGCTGTACCTGGCTCATTGTAGTTTTAACAGTATATTTTCCTAATGACTAACAATGTTGAATATCTTTGCATTTGTTTATTTGCCACCTGTATGTTCTTTGCTGTAAATGAATTTTTAATAATGGCTTATATTTATTTTTATTTTAGTAAGCTGTTTCATGTTCGACCTGTAACTCAAGGAGATGTGTACAGAGCTGAAACTGAAGAAATTCCTAAAATATTCCAGGTAAAAATATGGATTTGTAAATTTTTAAAAAATATTTTGAGTTGTAAATGGACACAATAACTTTTTTTTCCCTGTCTCACCATTTTATTTTATTTATTTTTAAATTCTAACTTGTTATATATGTCAACAGCATGTATTACAATTCATATTACACACATAGAGCACAATTTTTCATATCTCTTGTTGTATACAAAGTAGATTCACACTATTCTTGTCTTCATACATGGACTTAGGATAATGATGTCCATCTCATTCTACCATCTTTCCTACCCCTAAGCCCCCTCCTTTCCTCTCCCACCCCTTTGCCCTATCTAGAGTTTGTCTAATCCTCCCATGCTCTGTGAATTCCCACTGTGAATCAGCTTTCTTATATCAGAGTATTCAGCATTTGTTTTTTAGGGATTGGCCAACTTCACTTAGCAATTATATTCTCCAACTCCAACCATTTACCTGCAAATGCCCTGATTTTATTCTCTTTTATTGCTGAGTAATATTCCATTGTGTATATATGCCACATTTTTTAATCCATTCATCTGCTGTAGGGCATCTTGGTTGGTTCCACAGTTTAGCTATTGTGAATTGTGCTGCTATAAACAGTGATATGTCTGTGTCCCTGTATTATGCTGTTTTTAAATCCTTTGGGTATAGACCRAGGAGAGGGATAGTTGGGTCAAATGGCTGGGTCGAATTACCAGTTTTCCAAGGAATCTCCATACTGCTTTCCATATTGTCTACACCAATTTGCAGTACCACCAGCAATGTATGAATGTTCCTTTTCCCCCACATCTTCACCAACATTTATTTGTTTGTCTTCATAATAGCTGCCATTCTGACTGGAGTGAGATGAAATCTTAGAGTAGTTTTGATTTGCATTTCTCTAATTGCTAGCAGTGTTGAACATTTTTTCATATTTATTGTTTGATTTATTGATTGATTGTATATCATCTTCTGAGAAGTGTCTGTTCAGTTCCTTGGCCCATTTATTGATTGGATTGTTTGTTTGGTGTTAAGATTTTTGAGTTCTTCACATACCCTAGAGATTAGTGCTCTATCTGATRTGTGAGTGGTAAAAATTTGCTCCCAAATTGCAAGCTCTCTATTCACCTCACAGGTTGTTTCTTTTGCTGAGAAGAAGCTTTTTAGTTTGAATCCATCCCATTTATTGATTCTTGATTTTAATTCTTACGCTACAGGAGTCTTACTAAGGAAGTTGGGGCCTGACCAAACATGAAGGAGATTAGGGCCTACTTTTTCTTCTATTAGAAGCAGGGTCTCTGGTTTAATTCCTAGGTTTTATGTGGTGCTGAGGATTGAACCCAGTGCCTCACAATGTTCAGCAATTTCTCTATCACCAAGCCACAACCCCAGCCCTAAAATTATAATTTTTAAAAGGCTCTTTTTACCTAAGTACTGAGTGTTTTGTGAAATAAGTGTAAAATATGCCATTGCTTTTATACATGTGCAACTTTTATTTACAGATTAAGATTTTTTTCTCTTCCTTTCTCTATTCCTGAATGTAGATACTATATGCAAATGAAGGTGAATGTAGAAAAGATGTTGAGATGGAACCAGTACAGCAAGCTGAAAAAACTAATTTCCAAAATCACAAAGGCCATGAGTTCATTCCTACCCTCTACCACTTTCCTGCCAATTGTGAGGCCTGTGCCAAACCTCTCTGGCATGTTTTTAAGCCACCCCCTGCCCTAGAGTGTCGAAGATGCCATGTTAAGTGCCACAGAGATCATTTAGATAAGAAAGAAGACTTAATTTCTCCGTGTAAAGGTAAGGCATGATAATTATTTTTTACAAATTTAGTCCCAATAAAATAACTTCTTTTATGTATAATGAGTTCTATATCGCATTGAAAAGGTAGGTTATGAGAAGTTCTATTTTGACACTGATGGAAACATTGCAGGTATAATTTTATAGCTACAGATTTAGCTTTAAGTACATTTTTTTTTCTTTTWAAAGAGGATCACCCCCTTGCCAGGCACAGTGGTGCACCCTTGTAATCCCAGCAATTTGGGAGGCTGAGGCAGGAGGATCACAAATTGAAAGCCAGCCACAGATCTGAGGATGTGACTTAGTGGTTAGGCACTCCTGGGTTCAATTTCTTGTACAAAAGAAAAACTATTAAGAAATTATCCTGTGGTGCACAGTGGTGCATGCATACAATCCCAGCAGTTTGGGAGGCTGAGTAAGGAAGATCACAAGTTCGAGGGCAGCCTATACAATTTACCGAGACCCTAACTAAAAAAAATTAAATAAAGGGTGTGGGGATATAACTTAGTGTTAAAGCTCCCYTGGGTTCCATCCTCAGTACTGGGGAAAAAAAGAAAAAGAAATTATCCTAAATTGGAGAGAAGAGTTATAGGGTGAGTTTCACTATATTTCTCTGTGAATTTTTACCTGTTGCTTACCTTCTTTTGTCTGGCTTTCTCTGCCTGGACCAGCATGCTGTATCATAGACAAAAATACCTTCCAGTTTAATCAGAGGGAACCTAAAGGGAAAACAGAGAGTACAGACAGCTATTTTAAGATAAGAAACTTAAGTTCTATAAATATATTTATTTCACTTCTGCTTTTTACTTTATTTTTCTTACTTTATGACTGTTGGCTAGTAGCTTTGTTTGTTTTTAATTAAGTTCAGCCTTAATTAAATTTAAGAAAAAAGGAATATATTGTTCAAACTTAATTAAGCATAGTTGTTTTCTTTGAAACTATACAAACATGAAAAATTACATATTYGATAGATTTGGGGTTCTAATATTATATGGTTTTTATTGTGCTTATTTTTTTTAATATAGTAAGTTATGATGTAACATCAGCAAGAGATATGCTGCTGTTAGCATGTTCTCAGGATGAACAAAAAAAATGGGTAACTCATTTAGTAAAGAAGATCCCTAAAAATCCACCATCTGGTTTTGTTCGTGCCTCACCTCGAACACTTTCTACAAGATCCACTGCAAATCAGTCTTTCCGGAAAGTGGTCAAAAATACATCTGGAAAAACTAGGTAAGGATTAAAATGTTAACCTTTTTAACAGTGTGAAAGTCTCTGTTAAAATCAGAAATCTCATTTTTTTCACTACAGAGGACATCATTTATAATTAGGTCTTGGTAGACTCACAGTTACTCTATGATTCATTTTAAAAATTAATATTATTAATTAATGTGATATTTAGTTCTGTGTCAAATTTTATTGTCATAAGTTTTTTTTTATAATATTTATTTTTTAGTTGTACACAGTACCTTTATTTTGTTTGTTTTTATGTGGTGCTGAGGATCGAACCCAGGGCCTCACAAGTGCTAGGAGAGTGCTCTACTGCTGAGCCACAACCCCAGCCCTATCATAAGTTGATGTACAAAGCACATATTTATCCATTAATGTTTTTACACCTAGTAATTTATACCTTTTTTAATGCAAATAAGGTTATATGAAACTTTCCTCATTTTCTTTAACTATGAAAATTAAAATTATTTGGTATTATTGATGAAGATGGTATTACAAATAAACTTTTCAGTTAAGTCCCTTTTTTTTTATTTTCAATGAAATGTTTTCAAAAATACCTAACATGCTAGTTACAGTACATAATTAAATGTTTTCTATGGGAGAAATAAAGGAACTGTCACTAGGTCACACAGCCTATAGATTTGGAATCAGTTTTTGTCCTATTCTAAAGTATGTGTTCTTTCTCTGATACCAACTACCAACACCCCTTCAGATGTAATCACTAGATCAGAGGGCCATTAGAATATAGAAGATGATACCTAACTCTGATTTGTGTCTCTGCTTATGTTACCCACATCTTTCAAGCAAGTAAAAAATCTCTTCTTCATTCTGTCCTGTCAGTAACCAGATCTTTGAAATGACTCATAGCATATTTCTTACATATTTCTCAGTCTCGTATAACTCTAGTTTATCACATCACTCTTTAAGTAGAAGGCTATATCAACCATCTGGGTATAGCTGAGTGAAAAAATATGTTTAAAAAAKGGTAGAAGCAAAAAGGAGATAATTTTAAGTATGGTTTTCCTTTTCCCTATTTTTTGAGTTTTATGTAATTGTTAATTATTTTATATAAAGATGATATGTATGTACCTCCCCCCTATTCCCCAAGTTGTTTTGAGTCGAATTCACAGGCTTGCACCTGATGGGCAAGTTCTGTACTCATGAACCACACCCCCAACCCTCTAATTTTTGTTTCTTGTATTTTTTAACTGAGTACATTTCTTAAATTACAGATTTTTCCCCCCCYTTTTTCCTCCAACAGTTAACCATGTGACCTACTGCCTTGTGGAATCATGTGGGATGCTACCTGATAAACCAGGCTTCTTTAACCATGCAGAGCAGACAGGCTGTTTCTTTGACACAAATATCACAGGCTTCAGGGTTAAGATTGCTGTTATTCTGTCCTTGCTTTGGCACAAAAGCACACTGAAAGGGTTTTTTTATTATTATTGCGGGTTTGCCTACAGGTAGATTAGATTAATTATTACTATGTAATGCAGATACAATTGGGGAAAGCTTAGCTAGATATATTTTTTTAAAAAGGTGCTGCCTTTTTGAATTTCTAAGAAAACGCCTGTCAGTTGTGATAGAATGCAGTTTTCCTCATATGAGTGAGAGGAAGGAATTTTCACTTTCAAGTGGAATGGCCATCACTATCAAGATCAGCTCATGGAAGGAGTAAAGAAAATATCTCAAAATGAGACAAACTGAAGTTTTTTGTTTTGTTTTGTTTTGTTTTGTTTTTTAAATGACTTTTAAGTTTTTGTGCTCTTGCAAGACTACAAAATTATTTTAAGAAAACAGTGACATTGCTTGAACTTCAGTGCCCTCACTGTAGAATTAAAAAGCCTTACTGTTGATTGCTTGTGATGGACTTGAAGGAGAAATTAAATATCTTACATTATGCTTTACAATACTGTATATGTTTCAGCAAGTTTGTAGATTGGGGAATGGGAAAGACAAAAAATTACACTTAATCTATGCATTTTTGCCAAGCCATATTATTTTACTACTAGAGACATTAGGAACTAACTGTACAAAAGAACCAAGTTTAAAAGCATTTTGTGGGGTACATCATTTCTGTAATTATATAATGTATTTCTTTGTGGTTTTAAGTGATAAAGACATTAAGTTAACAAACATATAAGAAATGTATGCACTGTTTGAAATGTAAATTATTCTTAGAACACTTTCAGTGGGAGTTGCATTGCCCTTTTAGTGCCTTAATTTGAGATAATTATTTTACTGCCATAAGTATAGAAATTTCAAAAAAAACAGATTTTCAAAAAATTATGTGTGTCAGTGGGTTTTTCATTGATAATTGGTTTAATTTAAAATGTTTAGAGATTTGTTGGACTTTCATAAATTGAGTACAATCTTTGCATCAAACTACCTGCTACAATAATGAATGACTTTATAAAACTATCTGCAGAAATTATTCAAGGTTGCACCAATGTAAAAAGAAAATTATGGCAATACATCCATGATGTTTTCCAGTTAACATAGGAATTACCGTATAAATACTGTTAAACTCTTGTTTAGTAACAAGAGTTGATTTGTATGGGCAGTATGATTTATTGTTTATTTTTTAACCAAATACCTCCTCAGTAATTTATAATGGCTTTGCAGTAATGTGTATCAAATAAGAAGCACTGGAAAACTGATCGTCTCTAGGATGATATGCATGTTTCAAGTGGTATTGAAAGCCGCACTGATGGATATGTAATAATAAACATATCTGTTATTAATATGCTAATGACTCTGTGCTCATTTAATGAGAAATAAAAGTAATTTATGGAAGGATATTTTTAATGATGACTGCTATGGTCTTTTCTTGTGGCTGAAAATGAATAGAGAAGCACTGCAAATTAGTCCCTGATTGTATACAAATGTTCATTAAATGTTTATTTCTAAAAGATAATATCTGGTTTGGACTCTAAAACAAACAAGAATGGCTATAGTTAAAGTATCTATTAGGAAACAGTTCTTTATGGGCCGCTTCGATTTCTTGTGAGCAGGGGCTCTGACAACCTTTATTCTGGGCTGTCATTTCGAAGGGTCTTTATATAGTGAATAGCCTTAGAAGATAGTGTGTCTATTTAGAGGAGGGCAGGTCCATTTATTGTCCGGTATAATGTTCTCCCTCTGTGGTCAGAGCCAGCTAGCTTTGCTCATTACAAAAGATTCAGGTTCCATAAACTTTAAGCTCCTTACCTGTGATGCAAAGCTACCATATGCACAGTACCCATCTGTGTCACTCTGTATTAACCATTTAAGACTTTGGTAGCAAGGGGAACTAAAAGGAACATGAGGTTGGTGCTGCTTCCTGTACCGTGAATAATAAAGTCATTTGACTGTGACCTAGGAGTTTGAGGTCTTCTGCCTAGATTCATGACTGCTTAATTGTAGCTTACAAATTGGGTAAAATCTCAGACCCCTTACATGTCTGCCAATGTCCTTAATGCCTTCTCAGAACCATTATCATTAATTACCCAATATATTAAAGTCCAGTTGCAAAGAACACAATTAATTCTCATTAATTCAAGCAAGAAATGATTTTTCTTTAAACAAAATAGTAATCTGAACATAAAATTCTTGAGAACTGCACAAGTTTGAGGAAAGATGAGGTCAACCAGGAAAGCTGGCTCCTCAGCAGTGTGAGAATCCTGAGAGAACCATGATCAGGAAGCCACACTGGCACTGCTGTTTTTCTACAACACTTTGTGTGCCTGCTATGTTCCCAACCCAGTTAGAAGCTTTATACCATTCCTCTTGCCACTTATCAATCTCATGTCCATATACTGGGATCTGTCTGTCTACATCACCTCAGAAAAATCGATTTCATGACCCTAACTTGCCAACAACGGCACAGCCTCCATCTCACGTCAGCCTTCTATGTATAGGTGCATTTACTTGGCCAAAAATTAAATCACATTCAGAACTAGCTGCAAGAAAGTCTGGGAAATGTATCTTTTAGTTTTTTCTACACTTCATTACAGGAAGACACAGAGTATGAAATGAAAGTTCAACATCAAGCCAGCCCATTTACCCATAAGCAAGCTTTAGCTAAGACCTGACTGGCACTTAGCCTCTATAATAGAAAGAAAACAGGCACTGTCATTATGTCCAGGCTCAATCCAACTGTGATCACTTGTGGTTTTTTGAGGTTTCAACTTGAACAAAATAACCTGTCCTCCATTTTTAAGTAAAAAATATCAGTAAGCAAAAAATTTAAACATGATATTCAAACTCATAATTACTTAATAAAATTCATATTTATTTATTTATTTTTAGTTATTGAGGGCCTTTATTTTTAATTATTTATTTATATGCAGTGCTGAGAATCAAACCCAGTGCCTCACACGTGTTAAGCAAGTGTTCTACCACTGAGCCACAGCCACAGCCCTTTTCATTTACTTTTTATGCCACTAGAAATTATATACAGTAATCCCACCATGAGGGGGTTACATCTAAGATCCATAGTGGATGCCTGGATACGAGTATAGTATCAAATACATGTTTTTTTCTTATACCTACCTACATACACAAATTTAATGCCCTTTTCATCTTAGCTAGGCACTTATGTGCTGTGTCCATAACTTTCACAGTGTGATGTGCAACAGCAAAACTAGCACAAATTTCTCTTCCTGTCACAGTTTTACAGAAAACATTCTTACCATATATCTTAACAACTGCATCATGTGATTTTATGTTTTAATTGAGTCAAGAACTTTTCACTTTTCACAGCACTTTACAGCCTGCCTTTGGCATATCTAAATTGCCATCATTACTACTCTTGCATTGGGACYGTTTTTTAGTTAAACAAATGTTACTTGAGCACAAGCACTGTGATACCAGTCTTAGAACCAAAATGTCTACCAAATAACAGACCAGGAGTATATACAGTGTGTAAACGCTGGTCCAACAGGTCATGCACATTTGAGCAGCATCACGAGATTTTATCACACTATTCAGAACTGTATAATATAAAACTGATGAATAGAACTGCAGAAAGTGAAATGAAAAAGACTATAATAATCAAACTAAAAGTAATGTTGTTACTTCTTACTGTATTGCTAATTTAAGTTTCAAGTTTTTGTTTTCCATTGTCTAAGACTTTTAGAATGCTTTTTGCTCAGAAAGAAAACACAAAATTGGGGCTGGAGTTGTTGCCCAGTGGTAGAGCACTGGGTCCAATCCTCAGCACTACATATAAATAAATGAATAAAATTAAAGGTCCATCAACAACTAAAAAAAATTTAACAAAGAAAACAAAAGATTATCTATTAGCATGTATTATGATGAACAATTAAAGGCGATGTCAAAATGTAGTCAATTGTGGATAAAATGTACTACACATACTACATTTGCTTTTTAATTTCTTAATATCATTTGATGAACAAAAATTCTAAGTTTTAGTGAAGTCTGCTTTATTGAACTTTGCCTTTATACTCAGTGCCGTTCACACTCAGTTCTATAATGCAGCTGGAATTTATTTTTGAGATAGAAATCAAGAATTTGTTTTTGTTTTATTTTTTCCATGTGGATATCCATTGGTCTGCAGGAATTACTGAAAAGGCAATTCTTTCCGCATAATAAATCAGTTTCTCTGTTTGCCAATATATACTGTTTTAAATAYAAGATATCTGTCATGTAAGTCCTACAACTTTGTAATTCTTTTTTGGGTGGGGGCGGTGGCAGGTACCAGGAATTGAAGTTGGAGGCACTTGAACACTGAGCCACATCCCCAGCCCTATTTTTTTGTGTTTGTTTGTTTTTTATTTTGTTTAGAGACAGGGTCTTAGTTGCTTAGTGCCTCGCCACTGCTGAGGCTGGCTTTGAACTCATGATTCTCCTGTCTGAGCCTCCCGAGCTGCAAGGATTACAGGTGTGTGCCACTGCTTCAACTTTGTCATTCTTTTTTTTTTTTTTTTAATATGCTTTTTTTTAGTTGTAGTTGGACACAATATCTTTATTTTTATGTGGTACTGAGAATCGAACCCAGTGCCTCACATGTGTGAGGCAGGTGCTCTACCAATGAGCTACAGCCCCAGCCCTCAACTTTGTCATTCTTGACTTGGCTATCCTTTGCCCTTTGCATTTCCAAGTCAACAACTTATAAACATAGCAAAAATGGAACATGGGCCCAGCTGTGTAGAAGCTTTAAAATATTTTTAATTTCCACTAAAAAAAAAAAAAAAAGACTGCTGGCATTTTGAGTGGTTTTGCATTCAGACTACTAATGGATCAATCAATATCTTTACAATTTTGTCTTCTTGTCTATAGACATGGTAAGAAAAAGAAAAACATGGTAAGCCATGGCACAGAAATGAAACTGACATGTTTGTAAATGTTATAATTGTTTATGTAGAAGTCTATAGTGAACTTTCAAAGGCTACTACCTACAAGGTCAGTATACAATAATAATTTGTTTTTCTGTATACTAGTAACAGACAATTAGWGAAAAAAATTAATGGTACTATTTAAAAGAATAAACAAATCCACTGAAAGAAGTATAATATATCTACCAAAAAGATAATAAAACATCAAAGAAATTAAAAAAGACAAATGGAAATAATTTTTAACTCTGATCACTTTCACATAAGGTTAATATAATAAATTGGTTATATTCTGAGAATATAATAAGATTAGCCTTTTTAATCCACACTTGGAAATCTTTTTTCTTTTTCTTTCTTTTTTTTTTTTTTTTAAATGATGCTGGGATTAAACCAAGAGCCTCACACATGCTAGGCAACTGCTCTACTCCAGCCCTACACTTAGAAATCTTAATCACAAGTGTTCTTTATTTTTATAATTTATACTGCTATCCTGTTATAGTTGTTAAAATCAATTTCTGGTTGGATAATATGTGTGTATAAAACTGCATTCAATGCTCTAGATATATTTTCACAAATATTTTATGTTTTTAGTGTTATATTTTGGGCAAGATCTATGCTTATGGCAATAAATGAAATGTAAAAGGATATTACAGTAAAAAGCTTAATTCTATCTACCTAAACCCCTGCCCACTCTATTCTTTCATTGCCAGTATTAACCAATTTGATATGTATTAGCCCCAGAGTATTGTAACTTGGACTTTTTGTGAGGTAGAGAAAGAMTAATATTAACTCCATTTACATAGGGAAAGGCTGAACTAAAAGTAATTGAAAATCTGCTCTTGTTAAATATTAATGAATCATATAAATAATAAAATATGACATTATTTCCTGAGCTCTCTATTTACCATGAAGTATTTTGAGATGTTGGAGTTAAAAGGAAAAAATTAAACTATTTAGAAATAGATTTTTTGTTTAATTTTATTAATATGATTCTTTGCAAGTTTATGAACGTTAATATAGTAACATTATAGGATGATTTAGCCAGTAAATTGAATACACTAGTTCATTTGCCTGGATCACTGGCATTGTAAAATCAAACATTCACTTAGTCTAATTGTTTAAGAAAGTCAACAACTATTATAAACAGCAAAAATGGAACATGGGCCCAGCTGTGTAGAAGAAAATATTTTGGATCTGCCTTTTACTTTGGCCTACTATGTTTCTTAGATTACTCTTCATTACTCATCCTCAATGTGTCATTAATTCTACTTGGGTAAGTTCTATATGTGCAACACATTTGCTAACTCAGATTCAGTCTCCTTCAAGGTATGTCAATCAAAAGAGGAGCATAAATAAAGTCAAATGTACAACTGCTAGATGAAAATGTCAAGTTATTTCCTCTAGTGAGATACCTCAAGATCTTGAACTCAGAAGTTCAAAGTCAAAACATGACTTGCAGCTTTGTGAAAACCATCATTTAATTCTCACAACAACTTTATGAGTTTATTACCATCCCTAATTTATTGGTGAGGAAACAATTTGAAATTTTACTCTTATATAGCT